GTGCTGATGTTTTGTAAAGAGTCTGGTTTCATTGCACAGGCCTGCAAGTCTTTTGAAGGAGAAAGACTTGCATGCTTGTCACATTTTTTTAGACTTACGAGAATTATTATCAATATATTAGCCCTTACAATTTGTTTCAGATATTTATTATATACTCAAAGAAGTGTCTGCAGGAGGTCAAAATATCCAGCGCAAAGTGAAAAATGTAATTGACTGCATGATGTCAAGCATTGGAATGTTTTGAAAAAATTGAGAGGACTAAGTTTTCACATAGAGAATTTGGCAACATTTAAATGCAAAGAACAATCTCTGGTGGAAAAGTTATTTACTTGTTTATTTATTATTTGGGGAATTGGCTTACCAGCAGATAGCTGAATATTATAGTAGAACTCATTTTGTTATGTAGTATTCACAGTGCAACTCACACATTTAAATTGTGAGAATTTAAGTCAAAGAATAATATTAATATTCCTTCAGAAACAAACTGTTAAAGGAAACTGTCCAAAACAGCTTCAGAAATCTTACTGGACAACAAAATTTGCTCAAGTGTGTAGCATTGTGATCAAACAGTTCAGCACATACTAGCTACAGAGTTTCTGACATTTTAGCCTCAGATTAAGATTCTTTTAGTGATAAAAAGTTTAAAATCAGGTACAGTTGCAGATATTAATATTTTACTTACTGGTTTAAAAACATATTCCTATCAAATACATTTCTAAAAGAAATGTTTTTGTAAATAATTTTACAAATCACAATTTATCCTGTCAAAAGAGCTGCCCATCCTTGCCCTACATAACATTGTACACCTGGGGAGGGCATGCAACTGGAAGTAAGTTGAAAAAACCGTGCTACAACTTGGCGTTTATGTCACATGCCGTCAGTTTATGGAGGAAAGGCCGTCATGAGACTTCCGCACTAAATACAGTAACGTCTTTCCTGGCCTGGACTCACATATCCAGTCATCTCCTAACTAAAGCATAGTCTAGAATTTAAAAAAGCAACAAAGTTCCTGGACAGCCAAAATAAATGTTACAAAATCCATGAATGAAAGCTCAGGGTCTTTATCTGTGACAATACCATAGATAATGGGCTTCCCTTGGTAATGGGCTCAGCTGGTAAAGAATCTGCCTACAATGTGGGAGACCTGGGTTCGATCCCTGGGTTGGGAAGATCCCCTGGAGAAGGGAAAGGCTACCCACTCCAGTATTCTGGCCTGGAGAATTCCATGGACTGGTATAGAGTCAGACACAACTGAGTGAATTTCACTCACCATAGACAGTAATGTGGTCTTCATTTCGAGTCTGTTTACTCTTAGACTACACACAGTTTTAACATTTGTGAATGTTTGTAAAATCTCATAGTAGATTGGAAGTAATGGTTTAGGAAGGGATTCGAATTTTACTCCTCATCTTCTGTTTTAAAAAAAAGTCTGGGAAAGTATAACATTTAGAAAGAGTTCTTCTATTCAAAGTGATTTTAAAAAGTATCTTAACACTTAAAGTAAACCTCAAACTATCCGGAAAATGTTATTACTCAAAACAATTCATTCCTTATGTACTCTGGATAACTGAAGTTTTCTGTGCAACTTTAGTTCCTTTTGTCATCCGAATTCTATTGTAGAATTTTATTTGAGTAGAAATAAAATGATGAGCACTATGTGCCAAAAACCTGACATATACTGTGACTAATCCTTGCAATAACTTTAGTTGGGTGGAATTGCTACCTCATTTTATAGAAATAAAACTGAGGCTTCGCGATAAAGGCAATTGCCTAGTCAAATTTAGGGTTCAAATCCAGGGGTCATTCTGGCTCTAAAGCCAGCATTCTTTCCATGGCTATCTTTTTCTTCTAGCTGATGTCAGTAGGTCTCCAAATCTTTGGTGGGGCTCGAGGATTAATTTCCAGATAAAGAAGATGCTGTCTAGGTTGGATCATTCACTGGTTAGACCAAGCAGCCACAAAGGCTGCTTGAGTCCTCTCAAGCCATTTGTATTGTTTAAACCTCCCACCATTCATCTCTCAAGTATCTACCTCTGAGATAAGGGAATTTGGATTCTCTTGTAGTTGACTCAGCATATGGTTAATTTATTTCGACTCCTGAAAAAATAGTACAAACCATAGAAGGATGCTATAAGACGGAAGGTAAGTGTCAGACATGAAAAAGGAGATGTTTTATTCTAACAGAGGACACAATAAAATGAATAGAAGGCTTGCCTTTTTATTTTTCACCACAAAGGACAGATCAATCTTTTAGTCTGTTTACTAGATTTGTATCTCATCTCCACGATAAAATTGGACTTTGCGCATTAATCTTTGTTTACCTTTCTCAGATTCATGAGACCAGGGGCAATAACCAAGTGACCAATGGAAGTGGTGGAAACATTTTACAACAACTGCTCATAAATTATTCTGGCAGGAGGGGAGTGCAGGGACAAGTAAATAGTAAAGGAAGAGGGATAATGTTGCAAGGTTCATTCTCTGTGCAAATAGCTTAGGTGGAGTACAAAGTCTGTAACACTTAACTCCTCCCACATCTGAAATAGAACTTGCCTGGAACGTTTTGAGGGTTCTCCCCTTGTGCGGCATTGCTGAATTCCTGATGCAGTCATCTGGAATACTTATAAGTAGGTGAAATTCTTCTTCACTATGTCATTATGCCATTACATGCTACCTCACCCAGAGTTTTGCAAAGTGGCTAAGATGCCTGAAATTTCAGTTTTCATTGTTTTCCCTCAAGCCAAAGATGAAATGATAATGCTAATGGTCCTGGGGAAGTTAGTTCATTGACATTATCAGTCATGAGTTATCAGGATGAGTTTGATAGCAATTTACATAGGAAATAATAAATAAAAAGTCACTTTCTAATCCATATGTGCTGTGTGCTTAGTCGCTCAGTCCTGTCTGACTCTTTGCTACCCCATGAACTGTAGCCTGCCAGGTTTCTCTGTCCATGGAGATTATCCAGGCAGGAATACTGGAGTGGGTTTCCATGCCCTCTTCCAGGAGATCTTCCCAACCCAGGGATTGAACCCAGGTCTCCCACATTTCAGGCAGATTCCTTACCAGTGAGTCACCAGGGAAGCCCAAGAATACTGGAGTGGGTAGCCTAACCCTTCTCCAGGGGATCTTTCTGACCCAGGGATCGAACCAGTTCTCCAGCATTGTGGGCAGATTCTTTACCCTCTGAGCCACCAGGGAAACCCTCTAATCATATACTGTCAGGTAAATATTAAGTTATTTGAACATATTTAAAATAACATTTTTAATCAAGATAAAGCTGACATTATAACATTATAATTTAAAGACATTTTAATTGAATTACTTTTACTATCATAAAATTATCAAGTGCTTATTATTTGCTAATATTTATCAAGTACTTATTTTATATGCAGGGCTTCCCAGATGGCCTGGAGAAGGAAATGGCAACCCACTCCAGTATTCTTGCCTGGAAAATCCCGTAGATGGAGGAGCCTGGCAGCCTACAGTCCATGGGGTCTCAAAGAGCTGGACACGACTGAGCAACTTGGCTTTCTTTCACTTTCCCAGGTGGCGCTAGTGGTAAAGAAACTGCCTGCCAATGTCCAGTCCCTGGGTGGGGAAGGTCCCCTGGAGGAGTGCATGGCAATCTACTCCAGAATTCTTGCTTGGAGAATATGCAAGGCATTGTTCTAATATTTCTTGACCACAAACCTATATGAGGTAGATATGATTACAATCCCCATTTTACAGATGAGAAAGACGAGGCACAAAGAGGTCAAGTTTCTTGCCAAAAGTCACACAGCTAATGAATGTCTGAGCCAGAATTTGTACCAGGTGTTGAGTTCCAGACCTACATTGTAAACCACTCTCCTACTTAGTTCTTCTCTTCAAAGGTATAATGGCTGGCATACATGGGGAAAAGATTTGTGAATCATGAAAAGTTAAAATTTATTTTTAAATGGTGTTATACCCACATCTATTGTAGTGTGGATAATTTTCTTACATCAGTCCCTAGCAGAACTCTACTCTGCTTATTGTGGTCTGAACATCAACATAATAGAAATAATCAGAACAATATCAGCAATAGGTACTTACCATTCTGTGGCTGATGTGGTCCCTTTAATCTCCACCATATCCATGATCTTCACCATCACTGTCATCATTTACTGGGGGCTTACCAGGTTCCAGGAACCATATTTAGTACATTACCTAAGTGATCTCATTTGGTCCTCAAAGCTATCGTATGGAATAAGTATAACCATTCCCATTTTATAGATGAGAAAACTGAGGTTCAGAGAGGCTGTACTCATAGAATCAGAAATTGTAAAACTGGAATTTGAACCTAAGTATGCCTTTAAAGTTTATATTCTTAACTGCTTCAGGATGTCCAAAATTTCAATACTACGTCTATTACCATTATCACCACTGAATATCACTTATTAGAAGCCACCCATGTGCCAGGCTAGCTCTGTGTCAGACTAGCCCTATGTCACTATTTCAAACTATGACTCATGGACCAAATCCAGCCAGCTGCCTGTTTTTTGTAAATAAAGTTTTATTGGGACACAGTCGTGCGCATCCATTTACATATTGTCTGTGGCTGCTTTTGTACTAAATGGTAGAGTTGAGTAGTTGTGACATAGATTTTATGACTTGCAAAGCCCAAAGTATTTACTGGCTCTTCACAAAAAAGTTTTTGAACCCCTGCCTTAACCCATCTTGCAATATTATTATTCTCATTTTGCAGAGGAACATACTGGAGTTCATAAAGATTAGATAACCTGCCCATCCAACTATTAAAAAACAAGAACATAGCAAAAAACCTGAGGTCTAGATGACTCCAGAAGTTTTTCACTTGCTCCTCTGAAATCTACAAAGGCACAATATTTATTATTACCAATTATAGGAAAGGAGATTTTTCTTAACTTAATTAACAATATGGTTCAAAATGTTTGACACTGGTGGTAAAAGAGTTATACATTTTCCCATGCCAGAGGGATATGATGTTAAATTCCTCTTACCTTCTGAAAATTTACTGTACTTAATTCCTTGAGGATGGATGCTTAAGGGCTTGTGTGCTTTATTCCTAAAGTGAACTTTCATGATGTCTCCAACTTCAGCATACAAAGTCGGCCCAAGAAGTCCTATGAAAACAAGAATTTAAAATATGTTTGTATTCAGAATTGCTAAGACAGAGCTGCTAAGCAAGAAAAACATGCAGAAAACCCCACAGGTGATTGCTGTCATTCCTCTCAGTCTTGAGGTTGATGAGCTTATCTTCAATCTAGAAGGCTTTGCCAGCTCATTACCTCTGTATTCCATGCAGGCAGATAAGGATGGGAAGGTAGAAATACCTGGCTTCGGCCCAAAGCCAGTTAAGAAAATAGAAGAAATGGTTCTGATCATGTCCACCCCATTCTGATTCACTGTCATTCCTGGGGAGACTGCCATCTTGGGTCAAGAAAGATGTTCACTTTCATTTATACAGGGTGAGGTGAGAGAGGGCAATTGACTACCTCAGATCTCTATAAGGTGGGAGACCTCAGAGACCTAAATGAAGTCAGGGAGCAGATCAGACTTCTCTGGCCCTCAGACAAGTTCAGAGTCCTTGAGGCAGGAGTGAGCTTGATGTATCCAAAGAAGAGACCATCAGTGTGGCCAGAGTGAGAAAGTTAGGGTCACCCACTGTGGACCATGGTAGGGACTTTGGATTTTCTTCTAAGTGAAATGGAAAATCACTGAGCTTTGTGCAGCAGAGAGACATGGTCTGATATGTTTTAAAGTTAATCCTACATGTACACACTGCTATATTTAAAATGGACAACCAACAAAGATCTACTGCATAGTACAGGGAACTCTGCTCAATATTATGTGGCAGCCTGGGTGGGAGGGGAGTTTGGGGGAGAATGGGTATGCATATATGTATGGCTGAGTCTTTTCTTTGTTCACCTGAAACTATCACAATGTTAATTCACTATACCCCAATACAAAATAAAAAGTTTTTTTTTTTTAAGTTCATCCTAAAAAAAAAACAAAATCACAAGAAAGATTCATCCTGGCTGCTGTGTAGAAAATATTCTGTGTAGTGACAACAGTGGACACAGACCAGGTGGTATAGATGAGAGATAACGCTGTGTTGGGCCAGCATGTGCAGCAGTGAAGCAGGGAGAAGAGGTTAGATTCTGGGATTTTTGACAGTAGAACCAGCAAATTTGCTGAGGGGTTAGATGTGGTCATTGAGAGAGAGAAGTCAAGGGTGGCCCTAAGGGTTTTGATCGAAGCAACTGGATAAGTCATGTCATCAGTTACTTTGATGGGGAACACAGCAGGGACGGCAGATTGGGGTGCAGAAATCAACAGTGAGGCTTCACTCACTGCATGTCAGGTGCTGTGCTAGGTCCTGGGGACACATGGATAAATCAGCGACTGCGCTTGTCCTTTAGGAGCTCACAGGCTCATTGGGAGAGAAACATATGGTAGGAGCTACCGCTGAGATATGGGCAAAATGCTCCAGGAGCAGAAAGGGTGAAGGACCAACTCTGTCTGTGGAGTTTGGGGAAGACCTGATCTTTGACTCAGCTTTCTGAAGAACCATATGTTACAGTTTCCCAGAGTGTAATCCTTGGACGCTCTGCATGAGAATCAGCAAGGGCTGAACTAAAAGGCAGATTCTCAAGTAAGTATTCTCTCAGCCCCAGTGAACCTGAGTCTCTCTGGAGGTGGGGTCTGGGAATCTGCATTTTAGAGGTGTGCTCCTGAGTGCTTCTGATGTTCTTCAAAGCTTGAAGACTTGTCGCCAAAAGCCCTTTTTCAGACAGTTGACCGTCCTCACTTCCAAGCCATCCATAAGCTCTCATGGGGCTGGCTTCTGCCCATTAGGAATCACAGAAGCAGGAGAAGGAAGTTACAGTAGTCATGGAGTTCACCTAGCATTTTTTTGCCATGGAGATGATTGTAATTGTCCCTCTTGATGTATTTGAGCACTCTAAGTCTACATTAAACCTTCCAGCATATGTTTAAGGTTGTTATTAAGATACTTATTTTATAGATGAAGAAACTGAACCTCAGAGAATTTAAATATCTCACCCAATACTATACAGCTAATTAGAGGCAGAGCCATAATTTAACCTTAAATCTGTCTGACTCTAGATGCTAAGCTTTTAACCACCTCTTTTTTTAACCACCTCTTATTATTGTAGTTATTTATTCCTTTAAGAAATATTGAGTGCTCACATTATCCTAGGTGTCAGAATTGCAATGGTGAGTAAAACAGATGTACCCCCTGCCTTCAAAGATCTTAGAAAACAGAAGGCGAGACGGATTTTAACAAATGGTCACACAAATATTTAATTGTAAACTGTCGTTCGTATTATGAAAGAAAAGAATAGGATTCTCTGCAGGGCATTTGACAGGGGCTTCTAGGCTATTCTTAGAGGCAGGAAGGGGATCAGAGTTGGAAAATGCTTCCCTGAGGAAGTAAGGTATGAAAATATAAATGTTGTTACTTTCTCAAGGGCCTGTTTTCTGAAGACTATTCTGTCTTACCCTTTTCTTATGTGCTCTTTCTCATGCCCTTAAGACAGATATCTTGGCTGACACGTCAGCCTCGATAGGTGTTGTTCTGCACGCAGAACAAACTTCCTTATCTTCAAAGCCTTACTATATGACTTCCTTGTCCAAAAAGGAGACTTTATAAATATACACTCAGCTTTTTCTCGGAGAATTGCTCCGTTGTGAGCTCTCCCTACACTGTCTCTTACAATCCTGTGTGGTTGTGAAAATTAATTCAGTACGACACCACCACAGTGAGACGTTAACTGAAGCTCAAAGGCAAAGAGGCAAAAGGATGGACAAGAGCCTTCCAGGAAGTGGGACTAGCATGTACAAAGGCACTGAGCTGCCAGCACACTTGGCCTATTCAGAGAACTGGCAGATAGCCATGGGAAGGCAGAGCATTGTAGGTAAGAGAGAAAGGCAGAAAGTGAAGCCAAAGGCATGATCAGAGGTCTCATCACACAGGGCCTTGTAGACCTCTCAGAGTTTTGCCTCTTAACCATAGTGTCTGGAAGCAGGGGTGCAACACGAGCCAGTGACCAGCTGCATTTGTGAGAAAATAGAGTGAAGGCTGAGAAAACAGATGGAAGGCTCCAGGAAAGAGATGTTGGTAATTTAGTTCAAGGTTAGGACAATGGCGATAATAAAGAGAGAAAACATATTAGAGAGCTGTTTAGGAGATCACACTGTCAGGACTTGATGGGTTGCATGTAGAGTAGAGGGTGAGCGAGATCAAGTGGCCATGGATGGCTGCTGAGGTTCTGGTTTGGAGGGCTGGGTGGATGAGGGGGCCATTTCCTGAAATGGAGGACATTGTGGCAGAGTTTTGTTGTGGGGGGGGCGGGGGGTGTGTAGTAGGCAGGATAATGCCCTCCCACCTCCTAATCCCTGGGACCTGTAAGTATGCTACCTTATATGGCAGAATGGATTCTGTGGGTGTGATTAAGTTAAGGAAGTTGAGATGGGGAGGGTTTCTTGGATTACCAGGTGGGCCCAACGTAATCATAAAGGTTCTCAGAAAAGGGAAGCAGGAGTATCTGAGTTAGCAACTAGAAGATGCTACCTGCTGGCTTTGAAGAAGAAGGAAGAAGCCATGAGCCCATGGATGCAGGTGGCTTTTATCAGTAGTAATGGGAAAAGGCAAGGAAATAATTCTCCCCAGAAGCCTCCGGAAGGAACAGAGTTCTACAAACACCTTGATTTTAACTCAGTGAAACTCATTTGGATTTCTGGCCTCAAGAGCTTTAAGATAATAAATTTGTGTTGTTTTGAACCACTAAGTTTGTGGTAATTTGTTACAGCAATGATAGGAAACTAATTTCCTTTTAGCAATGAGAAAATGTGATCTTTGAGACGGTGGTCCTAGGTTTCCACCCACTGTTGTCTTATTCCACTCCCAGAGCTCCAAGTCCTAGAGTTTACACTGACCATGTGCCGGAAGCTTTTTGTTTTGTGTTTTTATGTTAGTTCTGCATAGGACCATGGAGTCCACAGAGTTGAATCCTCATCTGAGAGATGGTTACAAAGTCTGGGAAGCGGATGGGAAGAGTGGCGTGTCCAAGATCGGTCAGTGATTGGGTGGCATTGCTGGGACTAGAACTCAGGTCTCTAGGCTCTTGAACCAAGCTTTCTTTTACCACCTTCTGCAGGGCAGGTCAGCTCCCTCATGTCTGCACTGTTTTTCACTCCTGGCCATAGCTGACTCTACTGACTGACCCCTCTCTTCTGGCTGATACCCTCAGTCCTAGCTCCCAACAGAAGCCCCCACTGGCTACTGCCACCTGCCCAGAATGCCCATGAGCCAAGTCAGGTGCTGACTGCTCTCACATGGTCTGCTGCAATTTGTTACCCTGAATGCCTTGCTCGGTTGATTTGTTTGTTGGCATCACATGGCTGCACATGCCCAATGCCCAGAATAAGTCTTTTAAGTTATTTAACCTCTTATTACAATGAGTGGTTAGGAATATTTGTTTAGCCTCCCTATCTGCTTCTTCAGAATTAAAGCAAAACAAAGGGGTATTTTTACAAATGCAAACCAAATACCTTCATGCATGGAGGCAAACACGGCTGAATGTTGTCTGAGCTGCCATTTAGATCCTCCATCAACCAGATGGCCTAAGACCTTCTTTGCCTTTTCTTTGGTGCCCAATGTCAAATTGGTGGAAAGAGTGGCCTGTCCTGAGATCCCAGGAAGGTAGCACAGCCTGTACCCAATTTCATGCAGTTTTGGAATGAAAACTGCAGGAGGTAAGCTAACCCAATCCCCTGCTCTCAGGTGAATAATGTGTCGCAGAACACAGGCAGCCCATTGTTGCTGCTATTATAAAACCCCTTTGGGGACAAACATTTCATAATCCTCCTTGAAAATACAGAGACTCAAAACTAGTCATTTTAAAGCCCCAAACAGGATTCCTAAAAATGAGCCTGGCCCCTCCACCTGTCCATGTGTCCATAAACCTCACTGCATAGGCATCTCTTCAAAATTCCTGTCCTGTAGCTTGACCCCACCTGTAATTACAAAAATTTCTGGGTTCAGGCTACAGAAGTGCAGCACATGGCTAGAATCATACCCATCAGATGAGTGGAGCAGGAAATAAGGGAAAGATACAAAGAACACAGAACTAGGCAATGGAATGGAGAAGCCCATGTAGTCAGTGGCAGTGTTCACACCAGATCTTATTAAAAATCTGAGACTTTCCATTTACACTAGATTTTCCCTCTTGTATCCACTATTAGTGGAGAAGAAAATGGCAACCCACTCCAGTATTCTTGCTTGGGAAATCCCATGGACAGAGGAGCCTGGCGGGCTATAGTCCATGGGGTCGCAAGAGAGTTGTACATGGCTTCGCAACTAAACAACAACAGCAGTCAACTCTTAGAGGGATATAGAGGTGAATAAGATACAGCCCCTGTGCTCCAGGGGTTCATAATTAAGCAACTTTGGGCTTTCAGGAAGAGGTTGCATAAAAATAGATATTAAAATTCCTCAGAATTCACATAAAACAAATATGAGATATACAAGGGTTGACAGAAAAGTAATGTTTTAAGTGTCCTAGGCCTAAACATAAATCAGCTATTAAGTTCTACTTCTAATGAGGTTGAATCAGGAAATCACTACAAAATTAATCATCTCCAAGGATTTGGACCACAGTATTCTCCTCTTCAAAACTGATCAGTGCCTACGTATCACCTAAAAGAGTCTGGCACTGGTCCTTCTACCCCTTACTGCGCTCAGCAAGTGGCTAACACAGCACAGACAAATTCAGTTCACTTGGCAAAAGCCACAAAAAAGAGAACTCTGAATATCTGCCCAATTCCTCTTTTTCCAGGCATAATGAGTATGTTTCCCAGCTCGTTTTCCCTTACCCAGCTACAATTTAATTTCATTAAATATTTCTTAAGTATTTATTGTACATACTAAGCTTAAAGCTGGATCTATAAAAAAAAAATTTACAGAGTCTACAGAGGACAGAAGCTCCTTAAAGTTCCTGCCCAAAACTACAAGCAAATTTTAGTAAACTTATTAATAAACAGTTGCTCACCTGTCCTTTGCTAGGGCCCCCCAGCCAGTTCCCCCATGAGAGCAGTATCTCTTCTATCTCAGGCCCATCCAGCCCAGCTTTGAATCCCATCACTTCCTGTTTCTTCTGAGCCTGGTTCTTTCAGTTATTCTCCCTCAGATGTTTTATCCTCTCCTTTTCTATAGGATTCTTCCCTTGGGAATTTAGATATTTTAAGTCACTGTCATTCTTTTTTAAAATGAAACTCTTGGACTTTCCTGGTGGTTCCGTGGCTAAGACTCTGTGCTGCCAATGCACAGGGCCTGGATTCAACCTCTGGTCAGGGAACTAGATCCTCCGTGCCGCAACTAAGATCTCGCATGCTGCAAAGATCAAAGAGCCCTCGTGCCACAAGACCCAATGAAGCCAAATAAATAAATTAAAAATAAAATAAAACTCTTAAAATATGCTTAAACCTCTTATTTCCTCCCAGAACTACCCTATCTCTCCTCCCATTTGGAGCCAAGTTTCAGGAAAGAGTTATCTGTATAAGTTCCTCCTACTTCCATTTCCTCATATTCCAGTCACTTCCATTCGATTTCTGTCACCAGAGGAAGTGGCGCCAGGGACAACAGGTAATGACAGAATTTCAAGAAGGGAGAGCATTACGTGTCCTAGTAATGTTAAATGGGAAAATAAATGGACAGCACCCATTGGTCTGGTATCTTGAGGTCATTATTGTCTTCTAGTGTCTCAGTTGTTTCTGATTCTTTGTGACCCCACAGACTGTAGCCCACCAGGCTCTTCTGTCCATGGGATTTCCCAGCAAAGAATACCGGAGTGAGTTGCCATTTCCTTCTCCAGGGGATATTCCTGCACCAGGGATCAAACCCACATTTCCTCATTGGCAGGCAGGTTCTTTACTACTGAACCACGGGCGAAGTCCCATCTCAGAGGTCACGGGTGCCGTTTTTTGAGAGTAATTTGATATGATAGAGAATGAAATGCACCAATCACACAGGAAGTTGGTAGTAAAAGAGGGAAGAAAAGGCAGGCAGAGTCAAGGGCAGATTTTTTTTTTTTCTAGACAGTGGTTAACCTGGACATAAGTTGTGTCCTGTTTGATTTTTGAGGATTTTTGACAGAAGGGAAGGTTCCAGTTAAGGAAAAATTGAAGATGAAGAGAGATCCAAAGAGGAGGCAGGACAAGATGCAGTGAATAAAGGATGTAGAAGGATGAATCTGGGGAAAATGACAGGTCTTCACCTGGTTAGAGGGGGAAGGATGTGTGAATTATCAACTAGGGGACCTAACTGGAGGATGTTGTCTCTTAATGCCCTTTATCAGTCCTGTGAACTATGTTACCATATTCACCACATTTGAGTTCCCAGAAACCCATTCAGCCTACTTTCCTTAATTGAAAAAGAGTTGAGGAAAAGAGAAAAGCTTTTTTCTTTAAAAATTATAGCTATTATGCATATCACACTAAATAAAAAAGAGATGGGAAGGATAGATGCAAAAAAAAAAAATCAGCCATATACAGTTCCTTTAAATGAATTTCAGGACTCAGCAAATAATCATTTGCTAAAGCTCATTTGTGCTCATTAAACTAGACCATAAGCTCTATGAAGGCAGGAGATGCATTTGTCTTGTCCACCATGACATCCATAGTGCCTATTTCAATGCCCAGCCCACAGCAGGTGCTCTTTAATAGTTTGCTAGATGAATGAATAAAAATTCAAACACTCAAAAGTTTTGTTTAGCTTTTTAAAATCAATGTTAAAAACAGTTGTCTTCATAGGCATGTGACCCATGAAATTGCACAGGGCCCCATGCTCAGGAGGGCCCCCAGCTTGGCTTAAGGCTTTGCTGTCACTGTTTTGAAATTCTCCATACTATGAATAAGAGCCCAACAAATTATGTAGTCACACTGGTTAAAAACAACAAAAACACATTTCTGTAAAATATCACTAAATGAATATTTTAGATATATGTGAATATCAAATTAGCCATAGAGTTTTATCTTTAAAATTTAAAAATATATTTCAGGCTTACCTGAAGTTCTGGATTGTGGTTTTTCTTTCTGAAAATTTGCTTCATACTCCCTGTAGACAATTTTCTTAAAGGAGGTTTCAGAAGATTTTGAACTGGAAATAAAATACATTTGAAAGGCTACTGTGACATCTACTCACAGTACAACAAAATAGATCTCTCATGTCCCCAAACCTTTACTAGAAATAACAGTATTTTTAAACTGTGTTTCAGAAACCCTAGGTCTTATAAATATGAACAATAAGTGAAGTTAATAAAATAATGATTGATGTCTTTGAGAATATTCTATTGTGATAACCATTCTTCCACAAATTTATCTTGCATTGACCAACCCTATTACTCAGATCAAATTTCTTAAAAAAAAAACCAAACTTTAGGCTTGTATTTTAAATGATTAAAGATATGGCCAAATTCCTTATGAATAGATATATGAGCTGCTTTTCAACTCATCATTCATATACAGTTTTAAGCTGCTGGTGTTAGTTGCTCAGTCATGTCTGACTCTTTGTGACCCCATGGACTATAGCCCAGCAGGCTCCTCTGTCCATGGAATTCTCTAGATAAAAATACTGGAGTGGTTTGCCATTTTCTTCTCCAGGATTCTTCCCAACCCGGGGATTGAACCTGAATCTCCTGCATTGCAGGCAGATTGCTTACTGCCTGAGCCACCAGGAAAGCCCAAGCTGCTAGGGAGCACTGTAAAAAACTGTTGATATAATAGACTCTTTCTTGCTGGGAAGCTGAAGATGGCTAATGGAGTCAAAGCCCTGGGATTCATATAGGAAACAAACAAATGTAAAAACTAAGTTTAAGTAACTTGCCTGAGGAGAAACCGTTGATAATGGCAAAACCAAGATTCAAAAACTACTTAGAGTCATCCCTGGTATCTGTAGGGGTTGGTTCCATGACACCCCTGGCACCAGAACCTGCAGATGTTCAAGTCCCTTCTATGAGAGTACAGTTAGCCGGCTGTATCTGCAGCTTTCATATCCACAGATGCACAGGGCCAACTGTTTCCATGATTAAGAATTCAGAGAGGACGGCAAGGAGAGTACTGGGATAATTTCCATCCTTTCCTTCTGGGCATGTCATTCCCATCCTTGTCTTAAACTCAAAGTTAAAGGTAAAAGGAAAGATAATAGTAGTAGTGTTTGTTGCTCAGCCGTCTCTGACTCTTTTTGCAACCCCATGGACTGCAGCTCAGCAGGCTCCTCTATCCATCTGATTCCCCAGTCAAGAATAATGGAATGAATAGCCATTCCCTGCTCCAGGGGATTTTTCCAACCCAGGGATCAAACCCAGATCTCCTACACTGCAGGCAGATTCGTTACCATCTGAGCCACGAGGGGAGCCCAGAAGGAAAGATAATTGGGGGAAATTTCTTACAGATGTGTAAACCAGTTGCCCATATTGGCTTTGTTATGCTTCCTAATCCAGAGAGTGGCCCAGTATAACTAGGTCGTAACATAGAAAGATACTAATCACACTTGCTATGATATTTATGTAGCACAGAGGCTAAGAGAACTGGTTTTATGTTCAGAGTGTCTGGGTTTGAATCCTGTATCTACCCCTTGTTACCTGTATAACCTTGAAAAGTTTATTTAATCCATTTATGCCTCTGTTTCTGTAATTGTGAGCTGGGACCAACAGTAAAATCTCCCTCAAGAATTATTACAAGTTGTGCTCGCTTCGGCAGCACATATACTAAAATTGGAACGATACAGAGAAGATTAGCATGGCCCCTGCGCAAGGATGACACGCAAATTCGTGAAGCGTTCCATATTTTTTCTTATGAATAAAATAAATATGAAGATAAAGCTTTATTCTTTAGTGTTAGAAATGTATTATATCTCATAAACTAGTTTCATCAGTAGAGCAATGTATTAAACAATGTTTTATATAAGAAGTGTTTATCTTCAGCACCAAATACTTAACTAAGTATATCAGTCACTATTTATAAGCAGATCTTTCAAGCACTCCCCAGAATATTTTAAGTATTTCGGTGAAGTAACTTGTGAATTATTTGAGCATTATTTTAATCATTATAATACTCTTGATAACTTCTAGTTGTCATGATGATACTGTTATTGAGAGCCTGTAAGTTTGTATCAAATAAGGGTATATTTACTAAGGACTTGGCAGACAAAATTAACAATGTCAATTTAAATTAATAAAGATCTCCCAATGTGATTTGGATTAATTTTTTTTTCCTTTTTAAGTAAACACAGTAAAAAGTGATGTGTTTATCATTGCACTAAATACCTCTGAGGAACTGATTTGTAGATTGTGTACTAGGCATGATAATTGCATATAATAAAGTGATCTAAAGATAAAAAAAAAAAGAATTATTACAAGTTTTAAATAAATTGATACCTACAAAGGGTTTAGAGCTGGCACATTGTAAATATTCAATGCACATCAGCTAGTAATACCTTAAAAGTATAATGAAAGTTGATTTTTAGCTTTGATGTTTTCCCAGCAAGCAGAAAAATCTGTAATTTTAGTAGTTCTCATAATTTCAAAATGTGGGATACAAGAACTGTGTTAATATTTGAAGGCAGATTTAAAAGAGGCATGCATAAGTATTTTTGGAAAGGCTAGCTACAGAAGGTGGTGGGTTCTCAGTCACTGGAAGCATTCAAGTAGAAACTAGACAATTATTTACAAACTGTTTTGGGTGCTTTGCGTTTAGGAAAAAGTAGGAAGTTAAAACATGCAAGTTGAAATTAAATGACCTCTTAAGAGTTTATAGAGCCCAAGAACCCTAGGATTGTATATGTTAGTTTGTGTCCATAATGTGGAGGTCCTTTTTCTTGGAAGGGTGCAATTGAAACGTGTTTCCTGTCCCTAACCATAGCTCTTTAAATACAGGAGTACAGATGACAGTATAAAACCTTTACTAAGAAAAATCAGTCTTTTATGTAGAGTAATTTTAATAGAGGTGTGCTTCCTAATGTTTCCCTGTGTATATTGTGTGTGCATTCTGAGATATATTTATTTTTAATTCAAACAACTAAATTGCTATTGGAAAATAATCAGTCTGAGCAGAAAGTTAAAGATGAATTCAAACAATATGCATGATGAATTTTCCATTTATGAGAATTATTTAAAGATGATTTATTCATAATAAAATCATATAAAAGTTAAACCCTTGAGAGACCAATGTACATCTATTTTTTTCAATATCTGTTATTATATGCATGCAAGTGATTAAACATATTTCCTTAGGGAAATTTTCAAAAATATTCACTTTAGCTCCAGAGCAAAAATAAAAGATATATTTCACCACTAAAAGGCACTGCCCTGCCAATATTACATGAAATAAGGAAAGATTTTTGCTTGGTGCTAAAATACACTTTAGGAAATGATGGATGTTGATTTCTTTATAGTATCATTAGCTCTCAGTGTGGGACAATTTAAAACAAGTTCTTAGTTTAAGCAGCCAGATATACAGGTTAGATTTTTCACACTGAAGTACTCAGTCAGTCACTTCAGTCGCTCAGTCATGTCCAACTCTGCAACCCCATGAATCGCAGCACGCAAGGCCTCCCTGTCCATCTAGACCAACACAATACTGTAAAGCAATTATCCTTCAATTAAAAATAAATAAATTAAAAAAAAGAAGTACTAGAAAGAAATGACATGATTTGAGGTTTGAAAATATTGACAGTTGATCTGGATTATCACTGTTTGGTTTTGACTCAATAATTGATACCAGAGGAGCAACTATTACAAGAATTCTGGAAACTCTATCAAAGAGTGAGAGCTTAGGATGACCAATCATAACTTCTTTTGAGAACTCACAATGTAAATCAGGGTGTTTCCCTATGTGATTCTGCCTCCTCCATTATTCAGCTTGTTATTGCCCTATGTGATTCTGCCTTCAATATTCAGCTTGTTATTCCCATTGTTAATTGCAGAAGAAAGAACAAACTCCCAAGTATAAGCAAGCATAGGCATGATACAGGAAAGCCAGCATCCAAGCTAGTGTTCTATCCATGAGCAGGAAGATAGATGCTGGAAAGACTGCTATTTCCTTTGGGGTTTTCGTTAGTATTAGCTCTCAAAGGGTGTGGGTGGGACCTAGAGTATCACCTTGAAATACAATATTTTAAATGATTTTTTTTAAAGAGGGAATTACTACTACAAGACCAAGCTACCACACCCTCTGAAATAATCCAGTTACAGAGAAAAGATTTTGAAAGGGTTAATGTTATGCACTGAAAGTCAAAAGTCACTCACTTGTGTCCCACTCTTCGTCACCCCATGGACTGTAGCTCACTAGGCTCCTCCATCCATTTAGTTTTCCAGGCAAGAGTACTGGAGTGGGTTGTATTTCCTTCTCCTGGGGATTTTTCCAACCCGGGGATCGAACTTGGGTCTCCCACATTGCGGGCAGACGCTTTACCGTCTAAGCCACCAGAGAATCCCATGTTACGCACTAAAAGGCTTCAAACATCACAATACTTTCCTGGCAGATTGCTTTTGTTTCGAAATTGTAAAAGAGGAACACATCTTGCACAATCATTTAAACTGTGATGTTAAGTTAAAAAAAAATCTTAGATACACTAAGAGGTTTACTGTTCAGAGAAATACTGAGTAGAACCTGTGATTTCTTTAATTTCTGGGAAATCTTATTTTTAATCTTTCTATTAGGAAAAGAGTATGCAACTCAGATAGAGATTTATTATTTAACTCTTGTCTTAGTTACATACTTAACCCTTGTCTTAGCCATATATGGACTTCCCTGATGGTTTAGACGGTAAAGCATCTGCCTACAATGCGGGAGACCCGGGTTCAATCCCTGGGCTGGGAAGATCTCCTGGAGAAGGAAATGGTAGCCCACTCCAGTATTCCTGCCTGGAAAATCCCATAGACAGAGAAGCCTGGTAGGCTACAGTCCATGGGGTCGCAAAGAGTTGGACACGACTGAGCGACTTCATTTTCACTTTCAGTTAGTTACATAAGCCTTTTAATAGTGACTCTTATCAAAATAGCCAGGGTAGACCATATCCTAGGGACTGATAAAGAATGAGAGAAGAATAAAGAGCCATGTGAAACAGAAAAAAAGGTAAAAGAAACATAATGTTGGATTTTTATGAATTGATGATGTTTTGAAAGTCATTGATAAGAAGGCAACAACAGTTTGGCAGTTGTTACTGAATAATCTGCTTATAATGAAGTTACAAGGTACATATCTTTAGTTTTAGAAGATGAGGCTAAGTGGATATAGGATAAATAGTATGTACCTAGAAGTTTTGTGTCCAACTCTTTGTGACCTGATGGACTATAGTCCACCAGGCTCCTCTGTGCATTGGGGTTTCCTAAGCAAGAATACTGGAGTGGGTTTCCATTTCCTTCTCCAGGGGATCTTCCCGACCCAGGGATTGAACCCAGGTCTCCTGCATTGCAGGCAGATGCTTTAACCTCTGAGCCACCAGGGAAGCCCTTCATAAAAATACTAAACTACTAAAATACTAAAAATACTAAACTACTAAAAATCTGGAACAGGAGTTTGCAGCTGATGAAGAGCTAGGTACCTGGTGCTTTTGAATCAATCAATATATTAAACCAACCATCAATGATACTAACAAAATTATATCAACAACCAACTCTTGAAAGCAGTATCTAGCCAAACAATATTTTCTGAACCCTTGGAATATTACACTGTATTATTAGAGGCAAAATGAGCATCCACCAATTTTATTCATTAAACCCTCCCATTAATTGTATTTACCTATCTGAAGTTAAACACACACACACACACCCCAGTGGAACTGTAAAAGGAATGCTCTCGAAAAGAAATAGATTATCCTTCCCGGAGAAGCCCATCCAGACACCCCACCTGCCTTACCTGAGGTGTGTGGACTCAGGGTGGTAGTTCCATCTGATGCTCTGAGCAGCTACGTAGAACTGCCTTAGCCGCGCTGCTTCAGCCCCTAGTTTCCCCCAGCCTGCCCAGCTGGTGCCTAGGACCACGAGGAGCCAGAGGCCAGGGCAAGCGGGAAGCATGGTTGCTTTCCTTCTCTTGCCTGCCGCCACCACCCCGGGGGTGGGCAGGGCTGCCTCTGCGAGGCTGTCAGCTGTCTGGGCTGCAGTGAGCTCCCGGAGGCTGCGGGTGGCAGTGTCCTCCTCCTCGTCAACTCCCCCAGGCGCCGCTGGTGGCTACACCCCGGGCTGTCCCCACCTCCTCAGACCTTTCTAGGCTGAGGGTTGGCTAGGTCACTGCCCCAGATGACAGGAGGTGTTAGGAAGAGCCAGCGAGTTAGTGACTGTTTTACCACGGGTGAAGGAAAGGCGGTGATTGGAGATTCTAGCAGCCAGGGCAGTCCTCAGGGATTCATGAGAAGGGGTAAAACTGTCTCCCACACTTCCATCTGCTCAGCCCACTGCCCAGGAACCCCTCACCAGCCCCAGCCACCAAAAACGCTGCCTAGGGCAGAGTTCACACTTGCCAGACCCTCAGCACTTCCCATCGTGGTGGGACCCAAAATCCTTAACCACACTTCTCTCCTTCTGATCTGAGGAAGAAGGCATTGTGCCCTATTACTGGGCACAGAAATACTGTATTTTCAGGTGGTGAGGAAGCAAGGGGGTGATCACATGAATGGAGCCTGATGGCCTGGCTCACTTTACTAACTTCTACCCTTGCACAGGTCTATCTTGATTCAATATTGTGTTCCTTTCAGCTCTATAGCAAAGTGGTACATATATGGGTTTCCCAGGTGGCTCAGTGGTTAAGAATCCGCCTGCCAAGGCAGGGGAGACAGGTTTGATCCCTGGGTGGGGGAGATCCCTTGGAAAAGGAAAATGGCAACCCACTCTAGTAATTTCCATGCTGGGAAATTCCATGGGCAGAGGAGCCTGGCAGGCTACAGTCCATAGGGTCACAAAGAGTCAGATGCAAGTTAGTGACTAAACAACAGTATAAATATATATAATCTTTTTTTAGTTTCTTTTCCTTTGTAGGTTGTTATAAAATATTGAGTATGGCTCCCTGGGCTATACAGTAGGTCCTTGTTGTTTATCTACTTTATACATATGATCCCGTGAAGTTGCTCAGTCGTGTCCGACTCTCCCATGGACTGTAACCTACCAGCCCCTCCATCCATGGAATTTTCCACGTAAGGGTACTGGAATGGGTTGCCATTTCCTTCTCCAGGGGATCTTCCTGACCTGAGGATCAAACCCAGGTCTCCCGCATTGCAGGCAGACGCTTTACCATCTGAGCTACCAGGGAAGCCCATTTTATATTTAGTGTATATATTTTAATCCCAAGTTCCTAATTTATCCTTCCCCTCTCCCCCTTTGGTATTCATTAAGTTTGATTTCTGGGTCTTGGAGTCTGTTTCTGTTTTGTAAATATGTTGATTTGTTCCATTTTTTTAGATTCTGCATGTAAATGATATCATATGCCATTTGTCTTTGTCTGTTGCACAATTCTATCTTGATACGCGCCTGTGGCCACCTAAGGCAGTGATGACAGAGAGGGCTTAAAGAGTTTCACTGGGAGAATCAGACCAGATTTCAATCCCACTTACTAGCTGTGTTCTCTTGGATAAGTTTCACAACCTCTCTGATCTCAGTTTTGACATCAGGAGAATAAGGATGATAATAATCATTTTCCCCAATAGTGTGGTTGGGAGGATAAAGGAACACTGTGAAGTATGTAATTCCCAGAAGTTGGAAAGCACATAGCACATGTTGATTACTACGATTATATCTTTTCTGCCTCCAGGGCTCCTTACGTATCTCAGAGGAGCTGGCTGTTTCTCATGGCTTTAAGACATGATTTTGCTATGTATAGAGAATCTGAGAATTATCTTGTCTGAAGCATCATTGTGACTTATCCCAGGCTCCCTGCATCTACTTGCCTCCAAGCCTCTGTCTATGACTGTGTCAGGGGCTTCCCTGGTGGCTCAGTGGTAAAAAATCCGCCTGTCAATGCAGGAGTCGTGGGTTCAATCCCTGGGCTGGGAAGATCCCCTAGAGAAGGAAATGGCAACCCACTCCAGTATTCTTGTCTGAAAAGTCCCATGGACAGAGGATTTGTCACAATAGTTCTCAATAAATTGTAATCTAGCACCTCACATGGGTTCTCCATGATGTCAGGCTCCTCAACAACCTGTCTTTGCTTCTTGGCTGACATTATTTGATCTACTAAGAATGCCATTCTCTTACTCTTCACTGTCCACTCTCTAAATTCCAATCAGAATCTCACCTATCTCCTTGATTCTGGGACAAATTGACTTTTCCATTTAATGAATTCCTACCACACTCTTCAAATAACATACTTATTTCTGTCACTTGTATTGTTGTCTCTTGTGTCCCCAGTTACATTATCAGCTACTGAAGAACAGGAATGGTGCCATATCCTTTTTCATCTATACTATCAGTGCTTTACAAAGCTGGTAAGCCATCAGAATTCCCTGGTAGGGGGTATTTTTACAAAACATAGATTCTGACTCAGAACACAGGGCTGATAATCATCCTCCTATAATACCGAGCCTAAGTAAGTAAGTGTTAATCGCTCAGTAGTGTCCGACTCTGTGACCGCATGGACTGCAGCCCACCAGGCTCCACTGTCCATGAGATGTTCCAGACAATGATACTGGAGTGGGTTGCCATTTCCTTCTCCAGGGGATCTTCCTGACCCAGGGATCGGTCCCAGGCCTCCTGAACTGCAGGCAGATTCTTTACCAGCTGAACCTAGTGATCAGCTAGTTCTGAACCTAGTGATCAACTGAGCCTAGTGATCAGCATAACGTGAGCAGTCAGACTTGCTGTGGGCACTATCATGTGAGTGAAACCTTTTAAAAGCAGTGTGTCCGTAAATCTCAAGGTTACTACCAAAATTCTTGCAAAACCTTGTAACCTTTAGTTAGACTGTTTCACCATTTTTATCTGCGTGTTTTATTTGCATTTTTATTTGCATGTTTACCTAGTCTGTGTAACATGTTCATTGCTTCACTTTTCACAGAAAGGACAGCTATATTGTTTGGCTCTGTATTTTTTCTATCAGTTTCAGATAAGTACTGTGTAACTTTTAATAACATATTTATTAAATATGTGAATCAAAGAATGGGTAAAACACATTCAGGTGATGAAGACTTTTCTGCTTCTCTGATTTTCTTCTTGTGTGTTTAGGGTGGTGGTAAGATACATATTTGCCGACTCTAGTCTCGAGTTTGTAATTGGGACAACCATGATTGTATATTACATTAATGTCAACAAAGTGATGGATACAGACTTTATTCAGCAAAATATCAAACACTAGAACATAGCATTTAGGGGGATCCTTTTAACTATACATTCAAGGATTGGTCTCTGGGTCCTCTGGGGGAGGGTGACGGCGGAGGGAAGGTCTAGAACGATGTGTACCTTCCTGTCTGGAGCACCAGTCTCCTGCAGCCTCTGGTGCCATCCAGAGGCCTCTCTTGGAGCTTCAAGGAAGTCCAAAAGGCTTCATCAACAGCAAGCACTGAAGACCCAGGAAATCCTATAGAAATTCCCCCAAGTCAGAGACACCTCCTGCCTTCCAACAAAGTAGAGGAGAACCTCCTTCAGTCCAAAAATAAAGAGGCATTTTTATTTTTCCAGTCTGGTCTTCTGGTGGGTCATGCTCCGGGCTCTAGCTAATTAGTACCGCAAGTGACAGCCAGGTCAAAGCCCACAGACCACCGCAGAAAGACTCAGTCCCAGCTTCTGAGCTTGTGTTGAAAGAAGAGGAAATGGAGCAGGAAAGGGTGGTGGGTGGAGAATTGGGGCTTGTGATCCAGTCCTTCTGCTCTGGTGCAGAACTAATCTAAAGGAAATTCCACGTCCTTTATTCACAAGTATTTACAGAAAGCTGCAGCAAACACTCAACAGTTATAATCAAGTCTTTTCGGGAAAGCTGATGTTCAAAAATAGGATCCTGTGGCGGTTGAACGAGGTCACCAAGACAAGGACAGGTCTCTGAAAATGACAGCAAAAATTAAAATTATTGTATTTTCCTGAAAAAGATGAAAGAAAGCTCTCATCATATGTACCCTCTAAGGCTTTGTATAATCTTTTTCTAGATTCCAAATATTCTGTCATTTAGGCTATTTAGGAAACTTAACCACTCACTGAGCTTTTTGGGAGAAAGAAGGTATTATCATATATGGTATATATGATATTATATGATAATATAACATTATAATATATGACAATATCATATTATTTTGTATAATTATATGACAATATCATATGATTTTTGTTTTCCCAGCAGGTTGCATAGGGAACTGGCTCCATAAAGTTTGTAAAATTTTTCTAGTTGTCATGATTTCTGGTGATCAAGCAAGGCCACAGGATCAGTACTGTTTAGCAGCCAGTGATGGGAATGTCATACATCCTGAAATAAGTTATGTCTAATTAGAACATTTATATCCTGGAGTAAATGGAGATTCTCACATGTACTCACTTTCTATAGTCACTCTACTGCTATACCTGTCTCCTACTGCCAACACAGTTTTCTGCATAGTTTGAACTTTAAAACATGCTTAGAGTGTAACTCCTGATTATATAAAGAAAAGGCAAGCTTTATATTTTTCCTTTTCCTGCTGTCTATTTCCTTCAAAAATACCTCCATAGGCAACTTACCTTAAGGGCTTGGGTCAAATGCAGCATTTGTAAAAACTCCATATGTTCCTAGGTGGCTAAAGAACAGAAACAAAAAAAAGATGAACTTGCCATTTGATGCTTTGTCCTTGGCCCCAGTCCTTCACATCGTTCATCCAGAGACCGTGAAATACCACCCGCCCCTGAAATTCTCTGATTTTAGAGGGAAAGAAGAGTAAAAATCAAAGAGATTTTTCAAGATCCCAATTAATTGTTCTGGGTAATTTTCTTTGCACTTCGTACCCAAGTTATTGTTGATACTTTAGGTACTGAATACCTGCTCTGACCCCTGCTGCAGCCTCTTCCTTGTGAGAGGAAATCCTTTTAAAATTCCACCCTTAATACTTGATCATATGGCAATAGTTTTCAAAGAATGGTAGTACTGCTCCCTATAGCCATTTTTTAAAATTTTCGTAATGAGCAAGACTTACTATTGACATTTAGGCAGGGGCTAAGGATGAACTGAACTGAACTGAAGGATGCTGGATGTCCTAAAATGCCCAAGGCACAAAAGAATTGTCTTATACACTCCATACAACTTTAGAAAAGCTACTCAACAGTCCTGGAGGTGAAAAATCTCTGAGCCTAAAACTGAACGGCTTTACATATAAATGTTAAGTTTTTTTGTGTGTATCTTTTAAAATGCAATTACCATCTGAATTAAGAGAAGATAATAACAGGTTTTCCAACTCTTTGCCAGAATAGTTCATCATTTTAAAAAATCAGGTTGGTGTTGACAACACTTCTGATACTGTTTGACTCACTAATAGAATATTCCTGTCAGCTGACCTTTATGACTGTTGCCTTCATAGTGATTCTACTTGAATGAAGGTACAAGTATCTGATGGATGACCTCATAGCACCTGCTAGTGTGGTGCCCCAGTTCCAGTGTGCTATTTCTATGTCACTTTCCCTTATATCTTGTATTTCTCCTTTATATTATCATTATGGCACTTAGTGATTTTTTTAAATATTATGTATTGCTGGGACATATTACTGGTAAATTTTGCTTCAGAATTAGTCTAGGGGACATTGCCAAAGACTGTTTCATAACAGGCATGTCTGTATAGTCATTCTGACATACTCATACAGTGAATTAATAATTCATAGAGTGAATTAAAAAGTCAAACTAGAAAAATTTAACCATAAAACATTTCCATCTTACCTTTGAGGGTTCAAGGGGCTTTTTCCATCATCTGAAATACGCAAGAAGACACAGAAGATTGGTTTAAAAGAAAAAAAAATGAGATGAAGGGGAAAGGTCATCAGCAATAGGGATTATTGGGGGAAGTCAGCAGACTGATTTCTAGGCGGGCTTATTTTAAGGGACTTATTGGGAACAATCCCTCCCTGAGAGATGGGACCTGTTTTAGGCTAAATTAAACATTCAGCAATATGTGACTCCAGAGTCCGCTCATCTTTCTTCTCCTCTCTTTCACTAACAACCTGTCCTCCTACCTCTGGTTCCTGACTTCATCCTCTTGGCTACTCTTGATATCATTGAGACCATCGGTTCTCAAAACCCATTTCTTTGGCACTTGAGGCCCTCTATGTTTGCGTTCTGTCCATACTCTGTTAATCATTATTTGGTGGTGGTTTAGTCACTAAGTCATATCTGACTCTTGTGACACCATTTACTGTAGCCTGTTAGACTCCTCTGTCCATGGGGTTCTCCAGGCAAGAATACTGGAGTGGGTTGCCATTTCTTTCTCCGAGGGATCTTCCCGACTCAGGAATCCAGCCCAGGTCTCCTCCATTGCAGGCAGATTCTTTACCAATTGAGCCTGGGCAAGCTACTTGCATAAACAAACCCAAACCAACATAACAGTGGATGTTTTCCTTCCCTGATCATTTATACTATTGGGGGCCTCCTGTCATAATCCAGACACTGAACTCTGATCGTGGAAACTTTAAACATGGCAACATGTCTGTCAATCATCCCATGGGTAGATAAAAAGGGGAAAGCATCTCATGCCTAAATACATTTAGAAAATATTAGGTGAAATGAAAAAGAACAAGTGTATTTATTACAAGGCATGATTGAACTTTCAATGTGATAATGAGGGTGCACTTTGAATTTGCAGGGGAGGGACATAGTATGCAGGCCTTTCCTAGTATTTGAACTTAGAATCCCAGAAAGTTTAAAAGCAAAGTGGGACAGATCAAGGGAGAACATTCCATCCCCACAAATGAATTTTTGTATTATGTAGATATTGGAGGATGGGTGGTGGCTGATCCCTCTCCATAGTTCAGAGGGTTCCCTGGAAATGTCTCAAAACTAAAGAAAGAATTTGGGGAAGATGCAGGAACAGGATTCCTACATGGCAATGGAGATTAGGATCAGGGTCTTAGGAACTCTCACCTCTGCCTTCTGGCTTAGGTTAAGCAGGCACAGATGTTGCATGGAGGGACTGGTTATAAATTTTTGGTCTTTAAGCAGAGTTATTGTTTATCTGTTGTCCTATTCACTCACTCACAGGATAGTATATGAAGGAACTTTGGAAAATCAACCTAATGCGATGGTGGCTTTGTGAAGGGGAGAGAGCATGAGAATAGGGAACAAGGGGTTCTTCCTCTGAGCAGTGAAAAATAGGTGTTGAAATCTCAATTCCAGGAGAGTGCTGGCAGGTACTTTTAACATAGCCAATTTCTGTCCCTGGATTTGAGCATTCCTGACCCCTCTGATACCCCCAGTTTCATGAAGAAAGATGAGCAGCCTCATTAGCTTATTTGAAGAGGCTTCTTTATATCAGAAAGAGACAAATACCATATTATATCACTTAAATGTGAAATCTAAAATATTGCACAAATGAACTTATCTACAAAACAGACTCACAGACATAGATAGCAGACTTGTGATTGCCAAGGGGGAGGGTGGGAGGAAAAGGGATGAACTGGGAATTTGGGGTTGGTAGCTGCCAACTATTACATCTAAATGAATAGACAATGTCCTACTGTGTAGAATAGAGAACTGTATCCAATCTCCTGGGATAAGCCATAATGGAAAAGGATATTTAAAAAAGAATGTATGTATGTGTAAAAATGAGTCACTTAGGTGTATAGACTGGCACAACATTGTAAATCAACTGTACTTCAATTTTTAAAAAAGAAGAGGCTTCTCAACTTATGGACAGGCTGAGCATCTCAGGCAGACAAATGAAAGGATGTTTGACCTCTTAAGGGAGGGTTCTCTTTTTATTCCTAGGCTACAGCTATCTTTTAATGAACAATTCAAGAAACACAGTTTCCCTTATAGAAAATCTTCATCCATTTGGGTCACTTTCTTGCCTCAATCCTGAAATAGCTCTACAAGTTTTCATGAGCACATACACCTCTCTTAGCTTTCATACCAAGTCATTCCTAAAGCAGCAGCTCTTTTATACTTCCAGCTTTGTTTTTCACTTCCTCCATTCTTTTTTTTTTTTTTTTCAATTCAGGTGCAATAAACTATTGAACATAGCATTTTCCCAATTATTTTGCCCTTTTAGGCCTTGTCGCATGCCATTATCTCTGCTGTAACTCTATTTTGATTTTTTCCTTTGGCAAAATCCATTCCTATTATTCTTCAAAGTTAAACTTAAAAGAGCCTTTTCTGCCCTATCAATCTGGGTGGGACCCTTCTATTTTGTGTTCCAGGAGTAGTCAGGTAGTGTTTTTGCCCTAATGCACTTGATACACTTCAGTATTAGCATTGATTTAACTTATCCAAGTCACCTACTGAATTATACATTCCTTAATATCAAAGACTATTATTTTGGGTTACACTACCTAATCAGTTGACCAATAAATGGCTATTGTATGAAAGAATGAATGAATGAAGTATAACTCCTTTCTAGTTAGTTTTGGCAATAACTAAGTTTCCCTAGGCCAGAAGCCCCCAAGTGTCTGTATGTACTCTGGCCTCGAAAATCTTAGTAGGTGGAGTTGGGGTGGGGAGGAACTGATGAAAAATTCAGATTTCCAGGCCCATCTCCAGATCTCCATTATATGAGGATCTGTGTTTTCTTTTATTATTTTTTCCCTAAATTTGACTCTGATGGGAGTTGGTTCTCAAGACCACTAAACTTGGCATTGTTTCCTTTTAATGCAAATGTTTTCAGACATGAACTACTAAAGTTGTGGTTTCACTGCCTTGCCCCAAATCACATGAAAGAAGAAAATAAGGAGAATACTGTTTCCAATTTACCTTTTTGTCTGCAACGCCTTCTTAGTAGAGCCAGGAGTATCGAACCCGTCACTAAGCCTGTTGTACAAGCTGCTGCTCCACCAACATAAGTCAGGGTTTCCTGGATAGTCAGTGGCCCTGCTGCAAAACAAACACACACACACATGTGAGACATAAGAAGTGTTTTGTGCAGAAGACCATCATTCCCCGAGAAGGGCCCCAACAACGCTAAGGTGTGAGATCAAGTAAGTCCTCCAAGGTCCTGGCAGTGCTAACAACCCAGCACAAAAAACCTGAAAGTCGTAAATCACTCCAACAGAATGGGACACAAGCAGAACTTGATTTTCTTCCTAATGCTTAAATATCAAACATAATTTCCAAGGAGTCAAGGTACGGACTCAATAAATGGAATTAGATAATTAAATGGCAGTTTGGACAAACAAAATACACTGGGTAATTTGAGGGGGAAGGTAATAAGATTCATTTTTATGACAAAAAGTAGTTACAACAAGCTACTAGAGGGGGAAAAAAATGGAAGGGGATGAAATAAACCTTACAAGCAGAGCTGATTAAGGAAGACACATGGTATTTGGGGGAGGTATATGGTAAACAATGGTATTCTGAGATAATGAATTAGGATTCTTCATTAAATAACCTTCAGTTTAGAACATCTTGAAACTTCAAGATGTATTAGGTTGGCCAAGAAGTTCACTTGGGTATTCCTGTAAGATCTTACGGAAAAACCCAGCTGGACTTGTTGGCCAATCCAATACTACACAAAGATTATAGAGAAATGAGAGGATTCGTTTCACAAATTGGAGCTTTGAAAATGTAGTGGTGATTGTTTAAATTTGATTCCCACTGTGCTGCATAAGATTCAGAGATTCTGTTTGATTCATTGTGAAACAATTATTAAATGCAGGGGAAACCCAGTGATAGAAAGTGAGACCACTATTAAGAAACACACAGAGGAGAAAAACTGATTTCATTTTTTTCCATATCAAAGCGACTTCCTAACCTGTATGAGACATATACCTTGGCAGGTTGGCATGGTTGTTGACCACTGACCATTCTTTTGGCATGCTGTTCTTTCTGAGCCACTAAGTAATTGACCCTCTGGGCAATGGAAGCTGCAGGTTGATCCATAGCTGAAATTTCCCCAAGGGTTGGAGCAGTTCATCACTATTGGCTCAGTAATGGGTAGCTTGGAGCATTTGACAGCTGCAGAAGAAAAAAGAATGTAGGAAAAGCAAACAGACAGAATGAACATAAAATAGATTATGGTTTCATATGAAACATGGCTAAGGTTGCCAGTAGATGTGGTGGAATACAAAAGATCAGAAAGGACATGAGCTGTTTTTGGCATTCCCACAAGGTCTTCCAATATCAAACGTACTGAGATATATACTCAAAGAATGATAGCCAAAGAACTAAGGAGGGCACAAAGTGGCAAGTCAATAAATAAACTTCCAGTGGATTGATCAGTCTTGCCCACAAAAATACTATTTACAGAATTTTGCTTCTCAAAAATACTATTGTCCTAAATATTATTATTACTACCACTGGCAATTAACTGCCATGTCAGCACACATTTCTTGAGATAATAATTGTTCAGCATACCTGGCCTCTGAAAGTTTGAAAGAAGTAGAGACCACCATTCTCTTTAAACTGTTTTTCAGGGCATTTCAGTATATTCTCCCAAATTTGTGTACAGAAAACGAACTTTAACTCAAATTTAACTCAACTCAGGAAACTGAATTTAGCAAATGTTGTTGGGCAATACTGACATTTGCAAAGCACTGTGCTGTGCTTCATAGGGAATACAATGATGGAAGAGACACAGTGCTTCATGCATAGGGTATAGGTCTTCAAGAGGTAACATTCATAATTTATCTTTTTAATTGGGTTCCAGTTATGAAATATGGAATGTTTACAAGGCCACATCATCAATAGAATTGTACCTTGTAACTCACAATTCATATAACTGGTTTCACGTTCAGCATGTTTATGGCTCTAACACATTTTGTCATTTCCATATGTTTCCTCCTTTAGGAGTACCAGGACATTAGCTTGTGATGTAAGGAAGGGGAGACATGATATGCCTGTTGTTCATTACTTCTAATTGGGATTGGTGTGGGTTTCATGGAGGAGCTGACACCTGAAATGGTCACTGGCGTTGGATAAGATTTCGGCAGCCATGGACAATGCCTAGCATGCTAGAAGATAGTGTCGGAGCTGCCTCCTATGTTTCACCTTACCTCTGCACGTGGGAGCTACTGCTGTCCATTGTCTGGAAGGTCTGCATCGGAGAGCACTGTCTCCCATGAGTGTGAATCCAGCTTTGCATCCAAAGTGGCAAGTGGTATTCAAACCAAAGTTCCTCAGATGATGCTGACAGGACATTGTTCCCTGCATTGGAGCGATGAGGGATGGGCATTGCACCACTGGAACAGGAGCTGATGCTGTGTCCACTGCGGAAAAAAAAAAAGAGTTTCAATTTACAGAGCTCCCAACTAAGAGGAGCACAACAGAGTTAAGACTGACATGCAGTAACTGTCTTCTGGTCTTTTCATAATCAGGGAGGTTCTAGCAACAGCTCCTTAGGGAAGTTAAGGAAAACTACTAAAATCAGGCATGGAAAACCAGGGGCTTCCCTGGTGGCTCAGCGGTAAAGAATCTGCCTGCAATGCAGGAGATATTGGGTTCCATCCCTGGTGCGGGAAGATCCCCTGGAGAACGAAATGGCAACCCACTCTGGTATTCTTGCCTGCAAAATCCCATGAACAGAGGTACCTGGCAGGCTACAATCCATGGGGTCGCAAAAGAGTCAGACATAACCTAGCAACTAAACCATCCACTACAATAGAAAACCAGATGAAACAATTATCTAAAATTGTTCTTGAAGAGATGATTCTCCTGGCCAGAAGAAGAATTTGGGGAGGGGATATCAGTGTTACTTATATTAAGAAGAAAACCAAACCAAAAAAAAAAAACACAGAATAATGGGTGTAGAAATATGAAAATTCAGCAAAATATGCATAGACCAATTGCTTGCCTATTGCTGCTTTATTGGGAGGTGTTAATTGTCTTCAGGCCAAAGGTCAGCATGAAATGCGAGGTGTGGAAAATGCCACTGACTCTGTCACTAACTTGCCACGTGGCAGAGAGATGACAACTGACCTCTCCCCACTTCTGTTCCTTAATTTGAAACATTCGACCAGTGACTCCACCCCTAGTGCTCTCCTGGTGATGAAGAAATGGAAACCATTCAATGGACCCAGCAAAGCTCTTTGAGAAAAAGAAGCCAAAATTATGAAAGAAAATTTGTGCTTAAAAATCAGTATATCTTTTATTCACAAATATGAAAAAGTCCTGCCACTCCTTATATATTTTTTAAATCCACAGGCCATGTTTCCTGTATCCCAATAGATAACCCACTTCATGACAGAAGTGAAGCTTTAACAATAATAATAATATTATGTGTACCTGTCATATAGTAAGAGTGTATGTTAAGTATTTGTTATTTTTGTTGAGGAAATTTCTAGAAGAAAGGCTGTCTTGTGAGGATACACTGTTTTACCTTTGCAGACTGGTGGGGCTGCTGTCCATCTCCCAGAAGCTGTGCACTCAACATGGTTAGACCCCTCCAGCTTCAAGCCCTTGTTACAGGAGAAGTGGCAGATGGAGCCAACAATGAATTCTCCATGCGTGTCAGGACAGTCCAGGCTTCCCTGCTCGGGGGCAGATAGTTCCGGACACTTGATGGCTGAAGAACCAAATCAAGAACGTCACAATCTCCAAATTGATTCAAAACCCTGTTTTGCACCAAATTAATTCATTCACATTTTCAACAAATACTTATTGCACTCCCACTATCTCCAGTGTTTTGCTAGGTAGCAGACATTTCACAACAAACACAAGTCATGAAGTGCAGAGGGCAGGGGCAAGGATGGTGGGTCTGCAAAAAGGACATAGGGAGAAATTCCAAAAATGAAGGAGTCAGGGTTTAAGCAGTCAGACTCAAGAATTCACCATCTCATCCTCTTTTCTCTAAACCTTCTGCTTCAGAGATCTTGTGGCTTCCCTGACTCTCACTATCCTCTTTGTAGAAGGGCAGTCCAGGGTTTCATCTCCATCCTTCCTTCTGCCTGAAATTACTTCCAGTTAGATACCCTGCTGTCTCCACAAATTCAGCACATCTATACCTGCAATGATCATGTTCTGTCCTAAACTACTATTCCTTCCGTTTGGATCCCCAGGCTTTTCTTTTTTTTTCCCATTTATTTTTATAAGTTGGAGGCTAATTACTTTACAATATTGTAGTGGTTTTTGTCATACATTGACATGAATCAGCCATGGATTTACATGTATTCCCCATCCCGATCCCCCCTCCCACCTCCCTCTCCACCCGATTCCTCTGGGTCATCCCAGTGCACCAGGTCCGAGCACTTGTCTCATGCATCCAGCCTTTCATTTTTTTAAAACCACAGCTTCATAGCACAAGTAAGTGCAAAACCTCCTGGTCAAGCTAGAGTATTCCCCGGGAATTCCCTTAACTGACCTCATGTGTTCTTGCCTCTGGGCCTTGGCTCCCACTGCCCTAAATTTCTTTCAGTTTTCATTAAATAAAATCCCAGCCATCCTCTGGGATCCAATCAAACACAGGCTTTCCAAAGCCTCTGCTGATCACTGCAGCCTGAAGTCTTCTCCTCTGAACACATTGGTGTTTTTTTTGAACTCTCATGCTATCATATCGCATGTCAACTCTTCCCTCTTCTCTTGGATGGAAAGCTCCTAAACCTGAGAATCATAAATCTTTGTGTATCCCACAATCACACTGCAGGATCTCAAGAGGTGGTGCTCAACAACCATATGCCAAGTGTATGAGTAAATGAATTTACTATTTCCTTCAAAAATTATTTTTTATAAATTTATTGAAGTTACATATTTACCTTAGGATCATATCTTTCTCTCAGTGACATTCTCTGACATGAGACTATTATTTATCAACAAATATTGGGTTATTGGAGCTTCCCTGGTAACTCAGCTGGTAAAGAATCCGACAGCAATGCAGGATACCCTGGTTTGATCCCTGGGTCGGGAAGATCCCCTGGAGAAGGGATAGACTACCCACTCCAGTATTCTTGGGCTTCCCTGGTGGCTCAACTGGAAAAGAATCCATCTGCAAATGCCAAAGACCCGGGTTCTATCCCTGGGTTGGGAAGATCCCCTGGAGAAGGGACAGACTACCCACTCCAGTACTCTGACCTGGAGAATTGCATGGACTGTAGAGTCCACGGGGTCACAGAGTTGAACGCGACTGAGCGACTTTCACTCACGTTGGGTTATTGCCAAATTAAGTGACTGTCCTTTCTTTAAATCCAAGGGTATCTGAAAGCAATGCCTTAGTCAGATAAGGCTCCTTTTGCTTAGCTGTTTTGCTTTTTTAAAAAAAAAACTCTTAAAGCCCTGTGCAATGCCTCATGCAAAAGTATTGGTTTTTACATGCTGGCCCACGTGTTTTTGGAGTGGGCTGTTCACTGAAGGACTGTGGATCCTGATTGTGTGAAACCATTCACATAGCCAAAGTAACATACTGAATTTCAGTTTAGAACTGTGAAATGTTTGAGTAATTAATGAATCCATGCCTGGCAGATCAATTCTGTTTATCAAACTTTTATTATCTATTGGTATAAGTCATAGATATTAAATCATAGATATTAAATCATTTATGAACATTTTCACTAAAATAACTTTTTCAGAATCTCCCAGAAACTACATAATATCGGCTATACTCCAGGCAACAGTGCCTGACACAGAGTAGAGAGGTCTAAGAATATTTGTCAAAAGAATGAGTGTTAGTAAGCACAATCTAATTTGGATGCATTCTGACAAGTGATTTTACATGATGTGAAAAGAAACAAGAGGAGTTTCTGTTTTTAAAAATTGACTTAAGTGACCCCTAGCATACAAAGAGAATTCCACAGCATTAAATCTACTTGGGGGATATGCTTTGGTCTCAATTCTATGAGTCTTTTTCTGCCAAGGTTATAAACATAGCCTTTTGTATCTAGGAAAGTCTCTGAACCCTCTTCTATAAACACAAACCTTGTCGAATCAAAGGCTGCTAAGAAGGATTTGACTAACTTGCACAAGAAAGCATGTTTTCCGGTCTGAGGGGCAGACTTGATGAGGTACGTGGAAGCCTAGTTCAGATCTGTCAAGTGGAGGGCACTCAGCAATCAGGGGCTGAATTAAATTTGAGGAAGTTGGTGGAGTGAAGGGGCCTAGTGCAGAGGTAGAGGAAGAGATTTTTACCAAGGGGTGACCTCTCTGGGTAACAACAAAAAGTAGTCATATTCTTGAACCTACTCTAAAACTTTATTAAAAACTGACTTATTACAAGAAGAATAGGAAATAGATAAGAGCTGCTTTTATCACCATACTTAATGCTCTATTTTCATGGACTTCAAAGCAATGCTGTCTATTGAAACGGTCTTCATTGATGTTTTCTATAATTCATGATGTAGATGAACATGATGGCATGTGAATTCATGAATTAGTGGGTTCACTGACATGCTATCATCAACTGATAAAATATTGCTTTATACTATTTTAATTTTGATGAATTCTTTGTCTCTGTGTATTATTATTTTTTTTTAGCTTGAGTCAAATGTAGTTTTGTCATGAAATTTTTGGAAAGAAAAAGTAGTATACATAATAAGTTTCATTGAGTTGGTGGTTCTAAACTGAAACTTTGAAAATAAAGACTGGGAATCTTCATGGAGTCAGATAAAAGTTGGAGGAGTGGAGAAATGAAACAGAGATGTGAGCCAGGCCAGAGCTTAGAGGGCAGCAGTCTGCTGTGTTTTAGACCTTGGATGAGTGTGGGCGTGGCAGAAGGACAGAGCTAGGACTGGGACTCAAAACCAGGACCCTCACCTCCCCATCAAGGTGAGGTTGGTCATTAGGAGTCAGGTCCAGCAGCTGAACAGGGTCTCCAGAGAGTCAATGACAACGTGATTGAGGGAACAGTCATCGTATCAGGATAGTGGCCCAACAGCCAGGAATGTAGGGGACAGAGCAACCAGATGGGAGCAACTCAGTGCCGCTTATATTCAGGGAAAGGAATTCAGGTCCTCGTGGGTAAAGGCAAGGGGGAAGATTAGGAAATGCAGGCGGAGCTCAAGTCCTAGAGAGCCCAGGAAACTGACATTCTAACAGAAAGGGGAATATCTGTGGATCCACTCAAAAAAAAAATGGAGCCCCACTTTGCACCATGAAACAAGAGGCTCGGTGCACTTGCCACACCACCCCATGTACGTGGTAGCCCTCAATCCCCTCTGATAGACTCCAGGACTCTGCAGAACACCAGGTGAAAATCAGAGTTCACTGCTGAAAGTTTCAAAATTCGTGGACTCAGGCATATGGGAAAAGAAGAGGAACTCTGCCTAAATCTAGAGACTAAATTTGGAGAATGAGATAGAAACTCAGGTCCAAAAGCCAGAGCTAACTATCAGGTTCAGACCAGGTTGGCAGTTCCAAAGTCCATAGCTCACAAAAGCTGCTGCCCATGGTCAAGTTTAGTTTTAGACACTGGGCAGGGCCAGGCCTGAAATGTCAGCTCATGTGGAGAAAAGGAGGTTGAAGAGAGTCAGGAGGAATGGGGGCTTCAGAGATTACAGATTTAACAACCATGCTGATTGCAATGTATGATTTAAAACTTTCATGAGAAAAACAAAAACAAAAAAACTTCAGTGAGGTATTTCTTATATCTCAGTTTTTTTTTTTTTTTTAGACTTAGAATGTGGAAAAACAGAACTCATGATAAATGCCCATGGAATAAACAAATGAGTGACTGAGAAATCTGTGATGAAGCACAAACCCTAAAGATATCAGCTATCAAAGTCCTAGATTCTCTGGATGGTTTGTAGTGTATTTTTTTTTTTTTTTGACAATAGATGATAGCATTTTGGACTTCCCAGGTGGTACAGTGGTAAAGAATCTGCCTGCCAATGCAGGAGACGCAAGATACATGTATTAGATACCTGGGTTGGGAAGATCTCTTGGAGGAGAATATGGCAACCCACTCCAGTATTCTTGCCTGGAAAATTCCACGGACAGAGACCCATGGACAAACAAGACGAGCAGGCTACAGTCCAGGGAGTCATAAAGAGTCGGACAAGACAGCACACATGCACGCACAGTAGCATGTTATGTACTTTAGCCTACAGAATCCTTGTCCAGGGAAAAAACCTCAGAGGTGTCCTTGTCCACTCCTCTCCTTTTGGAATCGAGAATATCAGGGTGTGACATGATCTTCTATGTGACTCCATAACTTCAGGGAAGAGCAATACAAGTCTTTGTATATTAATCTAGTGCTCATTCCACAAGAAGGAATAAGAAAAAATAAGTATTTAGCTCTTTTCACTAATAGATTTCTAAAAATATATTCACTCATTTGATCACTCATCTAAAGTTCATTTTAGAACAACTGCTACTGCAGTTGCCGCTGCAATTAGACAAGAACAGTGGAATTTATGAATGACTATCACTGCAGATGGTGACTACAGCCATGAAATTAAAAGACGCTTGCTCCTTGGAAGAAAAATTATGACCAACCTAGACAGCATATTAAAAAGCATAGACATTACTTTGCCAACAAAGGTCCGTCTAGTCAAAGTTATGGTTTTTCCAGTAGGCATGTATAGTTGTGACCATAAAGAAGGCTAAGTGCCAAAGAATTGATGCTTTCGAATTGTGGTGTTGAAGACTCTTGAGAGTTCCTTGGACTGCAAGGAGATCCAACCTGTTAATCCTAAAGGAAATCAGTCCTGAATATTCATTGGAAGGACTGATGTTGAAGCTGGAATTCCAATACTTTGGCCACCTGATATGAAGAACTGACTCAGTGGAAAAGACCCTGATGCTGGGAAAGATTGAAGGCAGGAGGAGAAGGGGATGGCAGAGGATGATGGTTGCATGGCATCACTGATGCGATGGACATGAGTTTGAGTAGGCTCTGGGAGTTGGTGATGGACAGGGGAGCCTGGCGTGCTGCAGTCTATGGGGTCGCAAAGAGGACGCGACTGAGCGACTGAACTGAACTGAACTGAGCTGACCCGAGATTTAGAAACTGGCCACTGGGTGGCAGTGTAGTGTAGTGGTAAAAGCTCTAGTCCTGTAATCAGGCTAGACCTGGGTTTGAATCCTAACTGCACTTTGTAGCTAAGATGTAGCACACACATCTTTGCTAGTTATTTATCTTCTCAAAGCCTCCATTTCTTCATCTTTAAAACAGGGATAATGATAACCATGTTAAGGATTTTGTGTATTGAATGCAAAAATGCAGATGTAATAACTAGTACTTACTCAAACAATAAAAATTAGCTATTATTGCTGGTTTTATTATTCCTGACTGTAGTACATGGAACAGTAGAACCAAAGAATAAAAAAAGGTGACTTTTTTCCTTTAAGAATATTACTTTTATTCTGGGTTTCATATGTTACAGGTAAAAAAAATACTGTATAATTGCTTATTCCTGCAACTTAAGTTGTGTAATGACTGTTTTTTTTAATTAATTTACTTTTAATTGGAGGATAATTGTTTTACAATGTTGTGTTGGTTTCTGCCACACAACATGAATCAGCCATAGGTATACATATGTCCCCTCTCTCTTGAGCCTCCCTCCCATCTACCACCACATCCTAGCCCTCTAGGTTGTCACAGGGCAAAAAATGACATTTGAAAGTAAACATGAGCTATAAATGAATCCGTTTGCAAACTTCTACCTTAGAGCACACTATCTGTGGTGGCTCAGATGGTAAAGAATCTATCTGCAATGCAGAAGACCTGGGTTCAAGCCCTTGGTTGGGAAGATCCCCTGGAAAAGGGAACAGCTACCCACTCTAGTATTCTTGACTGGAGAATGCCCGTAGACAGAGGAGCCTGGCAGACTACAGTCCATGCGGTCACAAAGGGTCAGACGCGACTGAGCGATTAACACTTTCACTTTCATATACCAGATATGTGTCAGCCAGATGTTTCAGGGGAATCACAGACAGATAAGATCTGCCCATTGCCTTTGAGGATCCACTAATTCATTGTCAAAAAGGCTTGAGCTTGAATAAATTTAACCGGTAAATGAGAAGATTCAGTTCAACAGATACTTGTCACACGCCTACATTTGTTTCTGTCTAGCTGTTGCAGGACATTGCAAAGGTGAAGATGGTGCAGTTCCTGCCTTCAGGGAGCTTGTAATCCACATGGAACTGGAGCAAGGAGAGGCTAGACACAAATCCGTAGACTGTGAGAGCCTCGAGGGGCTGGGATGGAATCACACCCCCCCCCACCCCGGGAAGCTCAGTGTCTGGGGCTTAGCAATGCTCAGTGAAGGAGAATGTGGGAATGAATAAGAGTGTAGTAAGAAAATTCTTTATAATGAAGTAAAAGTCCCAGTGACATAGCTGAGCTTCAGCACTAATAGTAGGAATTTCCATAAATTACCTAATCTCTGAGCCTCTATTTTCTCATCCATAAAATGGTGATAATATTGCCTGTCCTCATTATTTCAGGATTGTGATAAACATCAAATGTCACAATGACACTGAAATACATTATGGAACTATGAAATGGTTAAAGCTATTGTTACAAGAATATTCGGCGGGAGGGGGGAAAGCTTTTGGTCTAGATTGTTATGCCTTGAAGAGAAGGCTTTCTTTAGCTTGAGGTTTACATGAATTCCTGATGATGATGCTCCATTCTATACTGTTACCTGAGAAGCCATAAGAAAGGATAAACCCATCGTCCTACCTTCACACGTGGGTGGGGAACCCGTCCAGTGTCCAGATGAAGTACAGTCCAGTCTGTCTGGTCCGGATAAAGAGAATCCCTCATGACATGTGAACCGGCATGTGGACTTATAACTGGAACCTCCAAGAGGTTGGACACAAGTCTTTTCTCCGTTCTGAGGGTTTGGCAGAGGTGCGCAGGTAACAGCTAGTGTGGGCACGGCCAAGGAGGAGAGAGAAGGTTGTTTTAGAACACAGCCACTTAAATCAGCGTGTGTGTGTTTGTGTGTGTCCTTAGCAGACCAGTGCAGTACTGGGTTAGAACGATTGTTTAAATTTCATGGGACTAGTCACCAGTTAGACGTCCTGAATGTGTGAAACAGCAGCTGACAGTGGGTTGGTATCCTGAAACGCTTACCCCTAAAGAGCTTTAAAAGAGCTTTAGAGGTGATTTAAAAGAATGCTGGCACTTTGTTGGGTAAGATGGTGATGGCGATGCAGCTCATGTTAGTTACCCCTGGACGGGAGTGGGAGTGACTGCTCCCTTGACACATTCTCCAGAGGTAGACCCAATAACCTTGCCAGAAAATAATGACAAGTGACTGGAAATAGGGAAATGGAGTAAAATACTTTCTCCCCTTCCAAAAGTTCCTTCCCCCAACCAAGTGATGAACTCTGGGTCCAAAACCTGCCTCTGTTACTCGCTAGCATTGAAATTTCTGGACAATAAATATACTGAACCTCAGTTGCTTCATCTATGAAGTGGGAAAAATAACAATCTTTGCTTTGCAGAGAACCTCAAATTTATTATTATATAAAATAATAAGTTAACAAAATCATGGGCAAAAATTAAAAAATCATGGCACAAAGTAGGCAAATAATGTAACTGGCCATCTGCAAATGCTCTTTCCACCAGTCTTATCCTACAGTGACCAGCAGCAAATGACTCTACCTGTCTACTTACAAAAAATGGTCAATAAGATATCACAGTTCTTTGCCACAGTTTATCCATGTGGAGTTTGTGGTGCTAAAGGATCTGATTTGGTTGGAGATCATGCTCTGTGACTTTTGGCCAGTCTCTGAACTTCCATATGTTTATTCACCTTTAAAATGTGGATACTAGCATTACATAGTTCTCAGGATTTTTATAAGGCTCAAAAGTGAAAACACTGTGTATGCAAATGTTAATGGCTGCCAAGATATTTCTCAGCCAATTAATGAAATAAAACTCAATTAAACACACTGGCCTTTAAAAAAAAATGAGTACATGGTTTAGGGTGTTTCTTCTTCACTGTTTGGCCCGATTGGGTCGTGTGTGGCTTCAGACCAGAGACAGTGGGAGTGTGGATGAACCAGGGCTGTCTTTCAGCCACAGATTTGAACTGCTTGAGGCTTTGTGAGCATTTTCTGTACCTGTCTCTCCCCTTCCTCCCTTCTTCTCTCCAGCTACATCCCCCATCTCATCCATTTGTCCAAAGACCTGGTATTTTCCACACTTGAAAGATCTTTCTGTATTCAGTGTGGGGGTGAGGAGAAGGGAGAGGAGACACGTCAAGAAACCTATGAACTGTAAGGACAAATGGGGCGGGGGGCGGTGTGGTGCCATGAGTCGGTTTGCAGCTTTTTTGTGACTTTGCCTTCTGATAGCTGGGGTAGGAAGGTGGGTGTGGGGGTGTGGCTTTGGAAAAGGAAACTGATAACACATTTTGGGGCACGTTACAACAGCTAGTAGGTTGCAAGCCTCATGGTACCTTCCTGCCCAGACCACATTTGGGTATTTCACATGATGCTCGCTCAGCAGCAAGAGGAGAAAGTTCAGTCAGAGTAAACAAAGAACTAAAAGCGGAAGGGAACTAGAAGGTCACAGGAAGCCGTGGTGAGTGTCAGCCTCCCTCCTGTGAAACACCCACAGGCAGGCCAGTATGGGGCAATGAACTGTAATCTGTGCCCTGCGCAGCCCAAGGCTGTCCGGAAAGGTGCTGTGCCCTGGAACGCCCTCAGGGACTCCCAAGTTCTTCCCCACAGTCACCGGGACTTCGTAGTGCATCCAGGCTTCAGCGTAGCCAGGTTGAGAGCTGAGGGCCCAAGGTCACAAGCCTCAGCCTGGTCTCTGCAGACCCAGCTCAGAAGGTGGGCTCAGCCCTAGCCCTCAGGGCTTGCCAGGCTCTCTTGTGTCTGGGGATAAAGGCATGCAGTTCTGTTGAGTTGGTCAGCCCCTTTGTTCATTCATTTGTTCACTGTGTTGACCTAACTTAATAGTAGTGGGCGTGTGTGTGTACTTGTGTGTGCTTATGTGTGACCTGAAGAGCAAGTGGTTTCCTTTTCATTAGAAACATGTATCTGTCTGCTTTTACTAATGCTGAAAGTGGGCACAAAGTGAAAAGAGAAGGCAAACAATGCAGAATTGTCTAGTATTTTACCTATCTAATTTTATTATTAAACTTACATATGCCTCATGAAAATACTAATTGTGTGGAGGGGAAAGTAGAAAAACATTGGAGGAATTTATACAATAATGGAAAAACATAACCAGTGTCTATTTAAGGGTGGGGTACTTTGGGGACAGTATGTAAGAGGATTTTTATGTTTATTTATTTTTCTAGAGCTTTTAAAATATAAATGTTATCTTTTAAAGGTAGGGTTTTCCATAAATATAAGTAAATAATTGGGTAGAAAAAGGAATGGGGAGTATAAAAATTGTATATCTATCTTTCAATTTCCAAACCCAGATGATCAGAACCAGTTCTATTTCATTCAATAACTGGCTTTATTTTATATCAGGTGAAATGCAGATATATATGATTATACTGAATAGGTACTTTTTTTTTCTTCTGAGAATCCTGTGACTTTGCATATATAGATTAGTTTCTTTCTGTTTTCATCACTCTTCACTTTACTTTAAGTGGGTTTCTCCAATCTTATTTGCAGCCAGATACCTGTAAATGCTGCCCCTCCCATTCTCCTATTAAACCCATGCATTACCTGCCATTCCACCACTATATGCTGTGTTTCCTAGGACTAAAGTGCCAGATTAGTCTTGGAACAACATCCTGGGACTATCTTTTCCCCTGGCCTTGTTTCCAGAGGCTATCTTTAGCCAAGTGAGAACAGTGAACCTAGTCCATGATAGAGGCCTTCAGATCCTGGTAAAGGCCCCAGGGCAGAGCTGGCAGCAGCCTTTCCTGCTGTCAGATATCCCATCGCTTGTGGTATCTGCCAGCCCGTCAAGGCCTCTGCACTTGGGATCCCCATGTGACCCGATAATAAGGGCTTCCTGATGATAGTGTTTATTCATTTTCCAGTCCATTTCAAGTTTCTGTCCCCTAGACAGTTACCACCTTTTAAATACGGCTTTTTAAAATAAGCCGACAAGTTGTTTCTAAGACACTGGAAAGAGTTCATCCTACCTTGGCATTCTGGAAAAGGAGCATCCCAGTTCCCCGTATCCAGGCATTGCAGCACACTTGCTCCCACCAGGAATGATCCTTCATCGCAGGTAAAGCTACAGGTCGACTGGTACCTGAAGTCACCAAAGGGATGTGAGCAGTTCACCCGGACCTTGTTTGAGGTCGGAAGATCCTGGCACTGCAATGCTAAGAAGGGAGGAAGTAGGGAGTGAGGAAGGAGTAATACACAAGTACTCATTGATTCCCACCCCTTAACTTTTTCTAATGCCAACAAGAGGGATCTTTGAATTGGGCATGTTTAACCAGGAGGATGAGAAAAGTATCATATAGTCACAATGCCAGTTGAATGACTTTATGAGGAAATGCCGAGTCATTGTTAAGCATTTGATAATATGCATCCATAGTTTTAAAAATATCGTAATTTTGGACCCAAGAATTGATGCTAAGTATGTAACAAGGTGCATATCAAAATCAATTTGGAGAAATTTTATCATATCATTTGTGAGAGCAAAATACTGAAAACAAACATAAATACCACTAAGTTTTTATCATTTATCATAAGTGAAAGTCACTTAGTCATGTCCGACTCTTTGTGACCCCAAGAACTATACAGTCCATGGAATTCTCCAGACCAGAATACTGGAGTGGCTAGCCTTTCTGTTCTCCAGTGGATCTTCCCAACTCAGGAACCAAACCCAGGTCTCCCGCGTTGCAGGTGGATTCTTGACCAGCTAAGTCACCAGAGAAACCCTTTTTTTTTTTTTATCATATGTGAGAGCAAAATATTGAAAACAAACATAAATGCCACTAATTAGAGGCTGAAAATTAACTATGGTGGAGCCATGAAAGGAATATGATCTGTTGCACCTTGAAAAGATATGAGAGGTGTCTCAATGTACAATGTTAGGTGAAAAAGCAGAATAAAAATTGTATGTATACTTTGATCTCAAGCATATGACGTAGATGGCTTTAAATGGAGAGAACACCTATATCTTATATATGTCTTTTCTCATCTTTAAAATGGGAGCAATGATTTTAACTACCTCATGGAGTTAGACTAAAATGCTCAATAATATATATATTGCTATTATTCCTAATCGCAGTAGTAGCAGCAGCCGTGGTATCGGTAGTAGTCATAGTCTTAAAATCATTATAGCTATGCATCAGGTGCTGACCTAGCCTGTCAGGGTGGAGAGCGCTAGCAAGGCCTATCAAGGGAGTTACTGAAACTTGTATCTGGCTGCCGGCTTTCTACTATCTGCCTGCAGACAAGAAGGGCCCGGTAAGAACTTCTAAGAATGTCGCAGTGCTGTCTGCGTCTTTGTCTCTCGGACAATAGACCCCATTCCCCTCCCTAAGCCTCACCATCACCGTGCATGGTGATCTACCCCTCTGCTGCCTCACTTTTATTTTTTTTCTTCCATTTTTTACCTGTAGTAAAATACACATTGCCTAAAACCTACCTTTTACCAGTGAACCATTTCTAAGTGTACAGTCCAGTGGGATTAAGTATATTCATAGTTTTGTGCAACCATCAACACCATCCATCTCCAAAACATTCTTCATCTCCAACTGAAACTCTGTATCACTAAAAGTAACTTCCTACACCCACTCCCTTCAGTCCCCAGAAACAACTACTTTAATACTTTTTGTCTCAGTGATTTTGACTACTCTAAGTACTCATATGTGGAATCCCTGAGTACTTGTCTTTTGGTAACTGGTTTACTACCCTCAGCATAATGTCCTTGAGTTCATCCATGTTATAGCATATGTCAGAAAAGTGAAAGTGTTAGTTGCTCAGTCATGTCCAACTCTTTGTGACCCCATGGACTGTAGCCGGCCAGGCTCCTCTGTCCATGGGATTCTCCAGGCAAGAATACTGGAGTGGGTTGCCATTCCCATCTCCAGGGGATCCCTACTCAGGGATCCCTACCCAGGGATCGAACCTGAGTCTCCTGCATTGCAGGCAGATTCTCTACCATCTAAACTACCAGGGAAAAAAATAAAAAAATTAACTACCAGGGAAGCCAGAATCTCCTTCTGTTTCAAGGCTGAATAATATTCCATTGTATGGATATATCACATTTTTCCTTATCCATTCATCTGTGTGGGACACTTGGGTTGCTTCCATATTTTAACTATTACGAATAGTGCTGCTATGAACATGGGTGTATACATCTCTCTTCAGGACCCTGCTTTCAAACCACTGCCTCATTTTAAAATCAGGGTATACTTCAACCCACGGGATTCGTGTAAATTGCTTGGGATCTCACATAAGATGCTATTAATAGTATTTCACTTCTGGGACATAAATTCTGTGTGGGGTACCCCTTGTAAAAGAAAATAATCCTAGTGACTTCCCTATTTTGTTCTTCAAGAGCAAAATATTGAGAACAGGAACTATTTAAAGGAGATGATTTTGTAAAATCAGATTAGAGACATATGATTTACAAAGTAATGTTATTATCATTATTTTACCTCCATTTGTGAAGCTCAAGCAGTTTTAAGCTTGCATTTACATACTTTAACCCACAAGCATTAGTGAGGTGGGTCGGTAAGGCAAATAACAGTACCTTTACTTTGCAGGTGACACTGAGTTTCAGAGAGACCAAGAGCTTGTTGCCAGGACATGACAGAACTGGACTGCTGCTGCTGCTAAGTCGCTTCAGTCTTGTCCAACTCTGTGCGACCCCATAGATGGCAGCCCACCAGGCTCCCCCATCCCTGGGATTCTCCAGGCAAGAACACTGGAGTGGGTTGCCATGCCCTTTTCCAATGCATGAAAGTGAAAAGTGAAAGTGAAGTTGCTCAGTCATGTCCGACTCTTCGCCACCCCATGGACTGCAGCCCACCAGGCTCTTCCGTCCATGGGATTTTCCAGCAAGAGTACTGGAGTGGGTTTACATTGCCTTCTCCGAGAACTGGACTAAGTTTTGTCATTACTCTTGCACTGTACCATGCTGTTCCTCATGTATCATTCCTCTGTCCCAACCCCCTCTCCTTCATGCTAACTCACCACATCTGTGTCAGTCAATACAGCTCTCACCTTACATTTCAGGATGCTGTAATGAGCATGTCCCTTAAGACTGCCTTCACTCACTACTTCATCCTAAGTGCCCAGCACAAAGGGTCTGGCACAGGATAGATTCTCAGTGAACATTTGAGCAATAACTGAATGACAGAACTAAATGTGGACGCTGATGCCTTTAATAAGCCAAAAGGCACGGAAGCAACATTATGATGTCACAGTATACCTTGACAGACTGGGGCTGGCGCTGTCCACTGTCCCGAATCAGCACATCGAACTGTATCAGCTCCTCTCAGCGTGAAACCCTCAGCACAATGAAAGCTACAGTTGGTGTTGTACTGGAATGCTCTCGAAGATGGGGAGCAAGCCATGCTTCCATGGACAGGACTCTCCAGGGGCTCACAGGCAATGGCTAAATGGAAAAAGTGGTTGTCAGAAACTGGGCGGTGGAAAGGCTCGATTCTTTTGCAGAAGAGCCCCTCAAGAGATCATGCATCTTTTTGACTCACATTATCAGTATATTCAGAACCCAAATCCTCCTTTTTCCAAACGGGGAGTCTTCCTGGAGCGCATTCCCCTTCCCCTCTTTGCCTGGATTGCTCACCTGCCTTTCAAGTCTCAGCTTACACTACACTTTCCTTAAGAAACCTTCCCTGCCCATCCCAGCTCAGGGGAGAACCCCTTCCAGCATGCTCCTACAATCCCTGTGCCTGAGCTGTTCATGCCCTATTATAACTCTGCCCCTTAGACTGCACTCTCTTTATGGCTGATGTCAGTCATCCAGAGTTGTATGCCAGAGCCTGGCAGTGTTTGGGACATTGAAGGTGCTCTTTAAATATTCATTGAAAATATTTGTGAAAATTGGATCTGTAAGGAGAAGATATAGACAGACTGAACTTCTAAGGAAAAGGCTAGAACAACATAGCCTATTGTTGACACTCTAATACCCAGCCCAATAAAAGGATTCTAAATGAGCCTTGTTTCTGGAACACAGGATGTCATCCTAAACAGACGTCGGTTGCCAAGTGAGTGTGCAGCCCAAGGTCAGTTCCTGAGCATAATTAAGCCCCAAGTGACCTCAGTTCTGATAAAGGCTGATTTCCTCATGCTCTTCCTTGACAAAGCATTTCATCTCCAGAATACTCCTGGAGTTTTTCAGGATACAAAAACTGCACACAGTGACCTTAGACCTCTGGGTTTTACAGAGTCAGGGTAATTTAAGTTCCAAAGATTCTCTAGCGTTTCTCTCTAACTTTGCAGATTAAAAGTGAGGTTTAGAAATTTTAAGTGACATCCCTAAGGTCTCATATGTAGACAGTAATAGAGCTGGGCTTATAATTCAGGTCTTCCAGGAATTCACTTATCCAACATTTAATTTCCCGCTATGCTATTCCCCATTTTTGCTTTATTAAGATGCGACTGGTGTGAGGTGTGAGGCAATTGCACAGAATGCAGCTTTGCGGTATTAGGAACCTGCCTTGGATTGTATCACAGCCTCTCAGTGCAGTGTTCGTTTGATCCTTTGTCAAAGACTGCCACCAAGGACTATGCTGAGCAATCTGTCTGTGTATCCTGATAGCCACTGTTCTGACTCTGTCTGAAGTATAGCAAGGACACCGACCCACAGCTTCTAGACACTGGTGAGGCAGGCAGGGAAAGAAGAGGCAGAAACAAAGGCTCTCTGCAAGGTACTTTATACATACTATTTAATTGTATACTTTTTATATGCATCATCCTTATTAAAGCTCCTTGCAATTCATAGTTCATATCACAGAAGCTCCTTACAGTTCATAGCTCATTTTCCAGAGGAGAAAACCATCCCTCCTGGGGGCTGAACAACCCATTTCAGGATCAGAGCCTGGAAAAGGTGATATTGATGTTAAAAGCCCTTGATCTTCCCCACTGTGTCATGATTCCTTGCCTAAATAGGCAGCATGAACTCATACTTCCCGGTGGACTGGGGGCTGCTGCTGAAAAAATCCTTCCCTTGAAGGCTGGCAAGGGTGGGGTCTCCCTGCCAGGGCCGAGGCAGCAGTTTGTCATCGCCCCTCACTCAATGAGTTTTGCATTCAAATTTGCAGTGAGAGCCACTGCAAGGGAAATGAGGGCATGGACACAGTCCAGGATTCCTTTGGTAGGGGCTTCCAGGAACTCACACTGCATAGCTGGACATCACCAGCCATAGAGAAAGGTACTGAGGAAGGAGAAGAACCATGCTCACAGCTGGGAGAGCAATGGTGAAACCACCTCTGGAAATCTAAGTGGAGCTAGGAATCTGTAAGGGTCAGGAGATCCTAATGATGTTTGTCCAGACTTGTAGAACCAAGCTTCAGGAGGACCTAAATCTCCTTAAAATAAAAGTTTCTTTCAAGACTCCTTTATCAAATGTCTTCTATCCCCTTTACTGCAAGAAACCTCTCCTGGTAGGTCTTCTAGCATCTACTTACAGATGGAGATGTCACTGTTCCATCTTAGGTGAAATTTATGAATGAGGTCATTCTGAAATTTCTTGAGGGCAGTGAGTTTTGGGGAGAGGAGGACTTCTAAATTTTGTTTACAGTCAGTAGTAAAATCAGTCTCTTGTTCTTCTAGAATCTGACACTCCTTTCCTATCCCAGATGAACTGACTGAGTCACTTAACTCTTTGCGACGCATGGATTATAGCCTGCCAGGTTCCTCTGTCCCTGGAATTCTCTAGCAAACCCGGGTCTCCTGCACTGCAGGTGGATTCTTTACTATCTGAGCCACCAGGGAAGCCCCCAGCCTAGCTGAGTGGTAGGTAAAAGGAGAGTCAAGTTGTGATTCAGGCTGGTTTCATCTGTGCTCCCAGCAAGAACCAGGTGCAGTGGACATGATACATCCCCAACCTCTTGGAACTCACCTTTACACACCGGAGTTGGCGCTGTCCACACCCCCGAGGCTGTGCACTGCACTACCTCTGGCCCAAGTAATGCAAATCCCTCTTCGCAGCTGAAGCTGCAGCTGGACTGGTGCTGGAATGCTTTTGTGGAATGGAAACAGCTCATGCTTCCTTGCTCCGGAGACTTCAGAGCCGGGCACTGGACAGCTAAAAACAGCCACAGAGCAATGGCATGAGGCCTGGTGTCGTGCCAAGCACCTTGGAAACCTTAGGATGCTGCAACAGCTGTGTGTGTGTGTGTGTGTGTGTGTGTGTGTGCGTGCGCATGCACTCAGTCATGTCCAACTCTTTGTGACCCCATGGATGCTCCTCTGTCCAAGGAATTTTCCAGCCAAGAATACTGGAGCAGGATGCCATTTCCTACGCCAGGGGATCTTCCCAACCCAGGGGTCGAACCTGTGTCTTTTTCATCTTCTGCATTGGCAGGCGGGTTCTTTAACTACAGCACCACCTGGGTAGCCAGTGATAGCTGTCTACACCTTCCCAAAGTGTTAGGCAAGGTGATGAACTTGGTTGTTAAAATGGTACTTTCAGTAACTGTTCGGAAAGACCCAAACATCCTTGTTTTGTTTACTTTTTAAAGAAGCAAGGTGAAATTCTCAAATTAATAATACCCAACCCCTGAATCATTATTGTACTCTGTTCATTTTGCAGTGAACAAAGGGAAGGGGACCTTTTTGTAATGCTTTTGTGTGAGAATCAAGAATTAAACTCCCTCACTCCACAGATGAAAATTAAAACTACTGTTACTCTGGTTGATTGGCAACAGTAATAAGCAGAATGTCCCATTTAGTGTAGATCTTCTTGTTTTTCAGATTGAGAAAGGCTTTTGTGCCCTCTGAAATTCTAGTTGTCAATGAGGATGGAAAAGAATTGGGTGTACATACCTATGCACTGTGGGGGTGAATTCGTCCAGATTCCAGAAGCCAAACACTCCAGCTCCCTAGGTCCGTTCAATATGTATCCTTCAGCGCAGTGGAAGCTGCACTGTGAGTTGAAAGAGAAGTTTCCAAGAGGGTGACTGCAGTTCATGTGCACATGTTGAGGAAGGTCAAATTCGCCACACTCTCTGACTGTAAGAACAAAATATTGATTTCTTTCTTTGCACATTGGAAGACAATGTCAGGTTTGCTAAAAGCTGAAACAGTTTGTATGACCCATCTAAACCAGTCTCCCTGGGCTTCTAACCCAACATGTTCATCTTTACTTTGTTCCTTTGTATTGATTTGTTTTGTTTGTTTAGTTGCCCAGTCATGTTTGACTCTTTTGCAACCCCATGGACTAAGCCTGCCAGGCTCCTCTGTTCATGGAATTTTCCAGGCAAGAATACTGGAGTGGGCTGCCATTTCCTTCTCCAGGGAATCTTCCTGACCCAGGGATTGAACCCGCATCTCCTGCATTGGCAGGTGGATTCTTTACCACTGAGCCACCTGGGAAGCTCTTATATTGGTTGCATCTTGGGAAATGATCATACTTTCACTGGTGTTTATTTCCAGCAAACAAAATTAGCCTGAAAGAGTTCTCTTTGTTTTACTGTCCTTACATTTTCACTTTTAAATTTTGCAATTTTAGGAGGAAGTGTTCACTCTAAAAATAAAGTGGTTTAACCCCGAGTGTGTGACTGGCCAGTTTGAGTGGGGCAGACTGACAGGTGGTAGAGAGAAGACCTAGGACTAGCCTGTACCCACTGGAGAGTCTCCAACATGATGATCTACTTCCTGGCATCACCTCTAGCACAAGACCATGGACCACGTTGCTATCACCAGAAGAGCAGGCTCACCATGTTCACACTCCGGTCCGTAGAACCCAGGGTAACAGGAGCAGGTGTAGTTCCCGATGGTCTCAATGCACTCTCCTTGTTTGCTGCAGGACATGTCCTGGCAGGAGGCTGCGTGGATACAGACGGGTCAGAATCACAGACATTCCAAGGAGGTACGAAGAAAAGCTGGCTTCTTATTCCAAGTCTTAGCCCCGCTTGGGTAACCTTGAGCTAGTCAGACAACAGAAAACCACAGCGTCCCCTGGAGAGCCAGCCTGTTCCCTGTGAAGGGTGCCATAGGAGCCTGCTGGAGCATTGCTTGGCTTCTATTTTTTAAGTTTTTGATTAGAGGATAGTTGTTTTACAATGTTGTGTTGGTTTCTGCCATACAGCCATGTGAATGAGCCATGAGTATACATGTGTCCCCTCCTTCTTGAACCTCCCTCCCATGGCCCCCCATCCCACCCCACCCCACCCCACCCCTCTAGGTTGTCATAGAGCACTGGGTTGAGCCCCCCGTGTCCTACAGCAACTTCCCACCAGCTCTCTATTTTCCGTATGGTGATGGATATGCGTCAGTGCTACCCTCTCTGTTTGTGCCCCCACCTCACCCCCTGCCCCCACTGTTCTCAATGTCTGTGTCTCTATTCCTGCCCTTGCTGGTTTGTCAGTACTGCCTGACTTCGGTTTTAGGCTGTATTTAATGTGGCCTAAGGAGGGGTTGCTATGTGGGGACAGAGAGGGACGAATGGCACCACTAGTAGGTGTGCAGACAGAGGAGCTCCTCTGTGTGGTGCAAAATAGGCTGTGGCTCTTAACCAGTCACACTCATAGAGTTGTATCATTATGGAAGCTCCTATGACAGATATCAGAGCATGGAGGTTACGAACTAGAAGAGGGGTGGCAGGGGTCACACTTACATAATCAGAACCCATGCCCCACCCCCTACTATTATGTGACCTCCAGCAAGTTCCTTCTTTGAGTCCAACCTGTCTGAAGTTAGGGCCAAAGCCTTTCCGCTTTTTGCCTGCTTTAAGTCTATGCCCAGCACCACATGGCAGAGGAGTTGAATGAGATGTTTAAGACCTACTCATGATCAAAGACGGAGAAGGCAATGGCAACCCACTCCAGTACTGTTGCCTGGAAAATCCCATGGACGGAGGAGCCTGGTGGGCTGCAGTCCATGGGGTGGCAAAGAGTCGGATATGACTGAGCGACTTCACTTTCACTTTTCACTTTCATGCATTGGAAAAGGAAATAGCAACCCACTCCAGTGTTCTTGCCTGGAGAATCCCAGGGACGGGGGAGCCTGGTGGGCTGCCGTCTATGGGGTTGCACAGAGTCGGACAAGACTGAAGCGACTTAGCAGCAGCAGCAGCATGATCAAAGACAAATGACCTTATACGGAGCTGTGTTGTAGGTCTGGATATATGAGATTTAGATGGTACAGAGCATGACTGGCCTGCCAGGCCCTCCTCCCTAAGTCTGTGCCACTTGGATGACAGAATAGAGAAGGACAGAGTTTCCTCTCTGCACGAGACCCTTTGAGGACATAGACACTGCACCTGTGGTTGGATTAGTATTAGAAATGATACTGCAAAAGCACTGAGTGTCTGTGTTGATGAGGTCATAGCTGGGAACAGGTCTGTGGCTAGGCTGTTTTCTGGTAGTGTTTCCTAAGCCTGGCCACACACTGGTCCACACTGGGGTCTATCACAAGAGGAAATCCGTATGTCACATAGCTGGTTGTGCCATTTGATCTCTATGTTCCCTCTCAACTCTCAGACACTGTAGCTCTATAAGCCGTGCAAGGTTCTATAGCAGTAAGTTCCCATGGCAGCCAATGAGTTTGATGAAGCTTCACTGAACCCCTGGGAAGCATTTCAAGTAACAAGAAGATGCAGGACGGACTTCCCTGGTGGACCAGTGCTTTAAGACTCTGTGCTTGCAATGCAGGGGGCCTGGCTTTGATCCCTAGTCAGCGAGCTAGATCCCTCATGCCCCAGCTAAAAGATTCTGCATCCTGCATTTAAGACATGTTCAGCCAAATAAAAATAATGAGAGAGAGAGAGAGAAGATACAGAAAGCAACAGTAGCACCTGTTTGGCCCATGTTTTCCCTCCTACTCACCTTGACCTACCAGTGCCCTACCTGCCTGCCCTATGCTCTTGAAACATAAAAGTTTTGTTCTGACTGCAGCTTCCTCAGGCTCTCAGAACTCTAGGAATGGAAAAACAGCCAGGTTCTGTATTCTACTCCGTTTCAGGGTTTCCAGGCACATTAGTAACTTATATACTTCTTGGACCTCCAGGAAAGAACATAATGGTGATTCAATGAATCATTCTTTTTTTTTTTTTTTTTTTTGGACACCTTATTCTGAGGTCTAACCAATCCTGACATTTAGGGAATTATTCCAACTTAGTTCTCTTGTTGCAGGGTAGCGTATGTATCTATTTCTCATCTATCTCCCACAGAGAACTGATGGTTACCTCCATGCTTTACCTCTTGGATGGAGAAATATCAGTGATAGTGGCTGCCTAGAGTATTGTGTTAGTAGAGATGGAAGCCAACTGTGTTCTGGTATCAATTAGTGACATCTGCCATTGTCGCAGGCTAGAGGAGTAGAATTGTTCCTTATCATTCATGCCAGTAATGGCCAATCTCTGTTCTTACTGGTAACTTTTTGCAAGTTTTTTTGAGGAAGACCATGTTGCAGATACAGATGCTGAAGTCCAAATGGGGAAGGGAAGCAGTGGCATGCTGCAATATCCTCGTGGCAACCAAGACAGTCTGATCAGAGTGGATTTAGGGAGCTCAAGCCCAGGAAAAGTAGGGAGCTGACTAGGAGATCAGTAGGATGAGCTAGCATTCTGGTAATGTCCATCCTGGCCTATAAAAGACAGGTCATTGTTTTCTTTGTTAATGTAATAATAAATAAGTTATTTATAAAATGAGATCTGTCTATATGGCAATGTGTATATGGATGTGTTTCCCCTCAGCTAGAAAGCTGTGCGAGGAAAGGGAGAAAGTAGGGGGAATGCTCTGTACTCTGTGTTCCGCTCCATAACTGCTGAGGGCTTCTGAGGGGAGGTATTTATCATCTAACATAATTTAGAACATACACAGCAGAGGGTGGCATCTGGTAGATGATTTATTGAGGAAGAAGCTTCAGAGTACTCAGGACTCTCTTGCCCAGGGCAACCCATACTCTTCCTGGCTGTAGTATGCCTGTGCTACCCAGGGCAGGGGATGGGAAGTCACTCCATCAGAGAGATGGAATCAGTTCTGACATGAGATGTGTGGCTACCAGAAGACCAAGCTTTCACACATGTCTGCTCACTCTGGAACCTGGAGAGTAGAGGATCAGATATATTCACAGGATCTCACTTTCAGTTACCTCTTACCTTTCCTCACCTCTCACCTCCTACCAAAGTCAAATAGACCCAGAGATATGCTGTTTTTGGAGGGAATCTGTAAAGCATTGTCATCCTTGGTTTTGTTCTCAAATTGTTTCCCAAGAATGTCAAGCCAAGAGTGTGGTCACATATATGGCCAAAAATACAACCTTGGAGTCAATGTGAATTTGAAACTGGCTCCATCATCAAGGGGACTTCCCTCGTAGCTCAGTTGGTAAAGACTCTGCGTGCAGTGCAGGAGACCCAGGTTCAACTCCTGGGTCAGGAAGATCCCTGGAGAAGAAAATGGCAACCCACTCCAGTATTCTTGCCTGGAGAATCCTAAGGACAGCAGAGCCTGGCGGGCTACAGTCCATGGGGTCGCAAGAGTCGGACACAACTTAGTGACTAAACACCACCCCGCCCAATATCAAGGAACTTAGAACCTTGGGCAGATTCCTGAATAGCTCTGAGCCTTTCCCTCATTGGCTAAATGAGAGTTGTATTTGGAGCTGATTGGTGAGGTTTTCATGAAGAAGAAACACAACTGATACTAAATGGACTAATGACATAAACAAATAATGATGCCTGGAACATACCGATTATCTGTAGGTGTTAGTTCCAAATGTATCTCCTAGAGACAAAGCCAAATTCTATCTATATACAGTCTCTTATTCTAGGGCCCAGTGATGCCAAAAAGCTCTGGACATAAATTTGAGGAGACCAAAACTTTCTGAGCATCTATTTTGGCCATTATAAATTATAAGGGTGGACTGAATGATATTAAAATTTCCCTCTGGCTTCAAAAGGCCAGTTGTTTCTAATCTTGATCTTATATTTTTCAAGATGCTAAATAATGCTGCTTGGCTGACAGTTCACTCTTTGTTCCCATGTCCCTGACTTTGAGACTCAATG